TTAACTATAGGAAATTGCATTCTAATCCCAACATTGTGCTTTCTCTTCTTTAGGGCAGAGGAACAGAAATTACCTACTGGTTGACGGGTACTGAGGACAAGAAATACAATCTCCCAACACCTCCTTCTGTGTAAGATGGTCTTTTTATGTGAAAAGGAAGGAGAAATTCCCATTCTTTGCACTTTAGCCCTTGTTGTTCCTCCTTGGCACTTGTGGATTTTTTAGACCATTGAATTTGCCTTCAGTTGTTAGAGGCTTGATAGTGAAAATGCATATAAACATGTAAATATTCATTACATGGGACTCTGTGTGCGCTGAAGGTTGTCTATATAAATGTTTAGCAGGTTCTTTGCCTTGGAAAGGTGTAATACTTACAGGACAAGTTGCTGATGTGATAAAAGCAAGAGATGAACAGGAAAATAAAAAACATTAATATTCCCACAAGTTTAGTCCGAGTGGCACCTGTGTGTCACACTACAGGAAGAGGATAACCAGAACTGAGTGTGCAGCTCTGTTGTGCCTGTGAACTCTTGGGAACAATTTGTAAGAGGAATGAAACTTACAGGATTTCAAGCACTATTCTGCTACAAGAGGTGGACCAAATTACTGTAGTACTGCACAGGAATAAAGCCTTTAAAATTATACAAGAGCTTACTTTCTAACATTTAGAGAAGTTACCAGTAAAAAAAAAAAAAAGAGGTTGATGTTCTGGAACTGAGCCATCATTTTGCATTAGAATTGAATAAAATATAGCAATAGTGGAAATGATGTTTTTGAGCAACTATGCAAAATTGAAGTCAGGATAACTTGTTGCATTTTTTTAGTGTATATTTTGCATATGAGTACCTCTTTATTTCCTGCAAACTCACTAAATGTGGAAGTTCCTCACTTGTTGCTCTAAACACATGTGTACAGTCTCTCTTCACTAAGTGGAAATTTGTTGCCATCTGCTTTGAAATAACAATGTTTCATTACAAATTGAAGCAATGATATTGCAAATTGGGGTTTGCCAGGTACATGGGGATCCCTTATCCTGACACATATAAGTAAATGTTACAGCTTGCTTCTACTGTAAGTTCTGAGTCTTACAGTGTGATCTTTGCACAAATAACATTCTCTGTCCATTTATTCTGTAAAAGAGGAGATTAAGTGGAATATGAGGGTTTTCTCAGGGCATTTGCAAACCAGAAATAATGAAATTTTTAATCTGCTGCAGAATCTCTTAAGCTTTGTTATTTTTTTAAATGGAAAGTACAAGAGTTTCGGCTGAGCAGGAAATACTGTCAAGGCTACTCATGATCTCTTTTGTAAACTCAGAACTACTTTTTAAAAATTAGTATGATCGCTTGAGACTACCAGAACTATTGAATTGGCAATCTTCTGGAATTCAACAATTGAAAGTACCTCTTGAGCTGGATCACAACGATGCTTTTGTTTTTACTTCCTCATATATGATTGCCCCTTAAAAATTGTCATATGTGGGATACTCCAGCAAAGGCCAAATACACTGAAGAAGTTTCTGAAACAGTGGCAACTCTATTACTGAAGGCCACCTGAAGTTGAATAGTTAAAGTCCTGGTGCCATAAAGTAATGATATTGAGAGCTGGTGTCATAAAGGAATTATATTGAGAGCTACAAACTATTTTGATTAGGATTGACTCCGTGTCTGCCTTTTCATGCAAGTGATCATGGCTTTTTAAGGTCCATAATGACACAGCTACAGACCTACTATCTGGAAAACTCACATGAAAATCCTTCTTCTGTTCCTAAATTCAGGCCCAGAATTTGGTCCTGGCTCCACTTTTTATCAGTAGTGTGTGAATGTCATTAAGATAAACATGGGAATAGAAATGTTTAAAAATCTCTGGGGACCTGAGGATCACCAAAAACACGTGAATCATGGAATTTTTTTCTCCATCCTGTTGATTTTAGGGAGAATCAGCAGCGGTTACACGATGACTTAGCAGAGATGATAACCAATAGTCTTCAGAAAAGGGAAAATGAAGGATCCAAGGCACAGGAGCTTTCGCGGGTAGGTAGCCACCGATCAGGTACCCTGGAATACCTGCAACTGGTCAGCACAGAGAATTTTACCACATACGTTTAAAACTGGATGTCTAGTATGACTCAAAAAGCTGCAGCAACTCTCTGGACAACTTCATGTGGAGGCTGGAGGCTTGTAGACACAACTGGAGGAAAAAGAAAACACCTTTTCAAGCATCCTTTTTACCATCCAACCTGCTGTCAGTAAATCAAAACTCTCTTCACTGTAACATTGAAATTGTTGGATGACTTTGTTAGGACACATGCAGCATGATTTGAGGTAAATGAAAATGTTTGCACTTGAGTCTGGAAAATAGTGGGGGTTTTTGCTTTAGTTAGGTTTTTTTTTTTAACTGTGATAGCTTGTTCAATAATCCACTTCTGAAAATATTCACAGCAAAAGCTTAATTTGCCTTGATCTTTAGATGTTGTATTTAATTTGTAATTTTTATTTGAAGAAAGATTTGGTGTAATATATTTGAAAATCTAATTAAATATATAATATGAAAACCTGGATATGTTGTTATTTTGTTTATTCTGCTGTTTTCCTCTGTGTTTCACATGTTTTCTGGAACCAAGCTGATTTTGTTCAAGAGATGACACTTCTGTCATTTACATTGGGAGATTATTCCAGAAGTATGGTTTGTAAAGTTTAGCTCAATCTCCTGGGCCTGAAAAATGAAACTCATTCATGCAAAACAAGACATTTTCATATCTTTTCACCACTTCTGCTTCTGCCCCCAAACCAGAAGTGAAACAGAAATTAAGGAAATAAAATTATCTGGATTTTTTAACCTCAGACCTTTTCAATTCAACTTTTGGATGCAGTTTTACAGTCAAGCAGGTTTTACTCAGATGACTCATTCTTCAACTGACACCATGGCACTGGTGTTAATAAACAGCTTTAAAAAGCAACAAAAGCACAGGAGTCGCATGTAAAAGAAAAATCAGCATTCACATGAAGAAATAACATCTAGTCAGTGAAGAACATCTGCTTTTGCAAGGGCCTTTTGTGCACTATTGGCTTTCAAAGCAGAACTACTTCCACCATTGTCAAATACTGGTCAGTATTCAAACAATAAAACTGGTGCAAAATCATTATTGTATAATTTTGAACAGCATTTTTGCTCAACTAAACAACATTAAAAGAATTAAAAGAGAGCAATACAGTTGCCCGTTTTTTCTCTTTAAGAGAAGCTGGCTTTGTAAGAACACACACACACACACATATTAAAAGAACAATGTAGATGTAAATAGATCTGAAGTGCAAAGATTACTGGAAAAATTCAATAATGAGGTTCTGTAGAGCTTATACTCTTATCTAATAAATGTATATTCCTACACTCAGGAACATGATACAGACAAATAGCATAAAGTGTGTACCCAACAGCCACAGCTTTCACATGGTATATAACTGATCTGAAACTCAAACTGGAATTAATACCATACCATCCTCTGTCTGTGTCCTAATGGAAGCATTCATTGGGGTGAGGACAAAAAAAAATCAACCAAACCCTGATGTGCTAAAACTGGTATGTATTAAAAATAATATAATTACAATAAAAATATAAAGTCTGCTATTTCCTACCTCATGGTGCCAATCCACAAGCTTTGTCTTTATGTCTGTGTTCTTGGGTGTGTCTGCTGCACTACTGGGCACTGCTGGGCTATTCTGGTTGCTGTGGCTGAAACACTCAGCAAATGTAGCTGTGATGTAGTGACAAGTGCTGGACTAGTCAAGCCTGAAGATGACCACTATGATTACCCCAAGCAGAGCTGTTCTGATCTTTGAAGTGGTACAAGTGACCTAACTCCTCTTTTTAAAGAGTTTTAGGGGTTCCTTGACACCACTGAGACACAAATTATTTTAGAGCACACGTTTGCTGACATTGATTGAGAAAATTACTTTAAACAGTGCTCAGTTTTCAGCAGCTCTTCTCTTTCCAGAGTTCTTCAGATAATAAATTTGGTATCATTTTGTGAAGAGAAATAGTTACCTTAGCAATGAGTTGATGTACTCATCTGCTGGTAGATTTCTTTTCCCATGGTTCTGTCCCTGCACGTGTCTGTTACCTACACACCACAATAAAATTAACGTTGACTACTCTTTTTAAAAATCCTGATTTCTGGTTTGAATGTTTTTTCCTTCTCTCTAAGTGAAAAGTAGCCCAGAACAAAGTGGTGATAGGTATGGAAGGATCCCTGCAGCCTGGTGACACAGTGCTCTTAGCCAGGGCTTTGGGGCCAAGGCTTGCTACTTGGCCTGAACTGGTTGGCATGTGATCTTGTTATGTGAGGCTATTACACGCACCGGTATCAAATTCAAACTGTCTTAAACAATTACTGAAACACAGAGTCCAAATAATGGCCCTTTTCAGATAATGGCAGAATATCCACACTGGGTGAGACAAAAATGCAGTGCCTCAAAATGGTCTGAATCACGGGTGCAAAAGAAAACTCCAAGGAAAGCTGTAAACCCTAGGAAAAGTTCTGTCCCACATTTCTTTTGCTGGGACACACACAGCAGTAACTGTTCTAACAGGGCTGAAAGCTGTCCTTCTCAGTCGTTTCTCACAATGTGATGAAAAACGCATATTTTGACAAGGCATCGCCCAATTCCTCTTGTGTCTTTTCACAGGCCGTCTTGATAAACTTTCGCCCCTTCAAGGTTAACCACCATCGGGAAGTCCGGGGCGCCACAGGCACCTGCCTGGGGACCCGCCTTCACTACCCTGCGAGGCCGGACCTCGGCCAGGAGCGATTCCCAACCTCAGCCAGGCCCTGGGGTCTCCAAACTCCTATCGGGGCAGGAAAGATGCCGCCACTCCCGGGGCACATCCCGGCGGCCGGCGCGGGGAACAACCGTCCCCGGCACGGCCACCACCAGCGCGGGGCGCCGCGGCCGGGGCGGGCGCCGGAGGAGGCGGGGGCAGCAGCGAGACCTGCCCCGAGCGAGGGAACTTCTTAAAGTCCCGCCGCCTCCCGGCGTTCCGAGGAGTCGCGGGGGAGCGGCGGCATGGCCCGGGCGGGCGGTGGCGTGTGCCGCTGCTGCTGGGCGCTCGTCCTCCTGTGGGCGGCGGCGGGCGGCCGCGCAGGTGAGGCGAGCGGGGGCGCGGGGGTGCCGGCCAAGGTCCCCTCGCCGTGGTGGGGGCGACGACAGGAGTCATAGGGGCTGCCCCGCCAGTGTCGCCAGGCGGTCGGGAGGGGTAGCCCGGCCCGGGCTCGTCTGCGGCTCTCCCGGGGTACCGCCGGGTTCCGCGCTCCGCCTGTGGCAGCTGCGCCTCCGCCCCGTGCTGCCTGGGACGCGGGTGCGAGGCCGCCCCGCTCCCCGCGGCGGGACCCCGCAGGCCGGGCTGGCCCCGGCCCCCTCAGGGGCTGCTCCGCCTGCGCCTCGTGCCCCGCGGCCGGGCCGGCGCGGCCGTGCTGCCTCGTGGGTGTTCGGTGCCGGCGCTTTCTAAACATCCTCCCAGTTCCCAGAAGGGGCGCGGGGAATCAAACTGAGAATCCAACAGGTGGGAAATTGCCTTGAGCTCCCAGCCGAGCTGGTTTTGAATGCCGTCTGCAGGCGCGGGAATCGTTCAGGATGAAGATATCGTTGTGGTGCTGTGGCCTACAGCGTGCGGCAGCTTGTGACTAACAGAGTTTAGTGCTGCCTTGTGGGGTCACGGTCTGCGCCTCAGCCTCGGAGCTCATACGGAATCCCAGAATGGTTTGAGTTGGAAGGGACCTTAAGGATCATCTTGTTCCAACCACGCTGCCTCGGGCATGGACACAGTATCTTGCTCTTGTGCTGCTTTCAATAAATTCTGAAGGTTTTGAGGGCTGGATTTGGTGCTTATCTTCCAGGAATTTCCCAGTTAATGTATTAAGTGCCACAAACCAAGGAGAAATTCACGTAACAGTTGTTCCAATGTGTGCAAAGTGTTATAAGCGTATCATTTTGTGGGCAGTCCTATCTCATCTTGCAGACATGCTTTCAAAACTTTACCTGGATCGGCAAAAACTTCAATTAGGAGGATGGGAGGAAGGGTCAGCTGTAAATTATCTAGAGGAAATGGAAGCAAGTTTAGGGTATGAAGTGGTTTCACCTAATGCCCAGCTGATTTCTAACATAATTAAGATACTGGTAGAAAACTACAAAGGAGCAAATAGAAATGCCTTTAGGCTATTTAATAGAGTAAATGGCTTTCAACATTGTGAATTGTCTAGGTTCTGTTTTTTGGGTTTTTTAAAATTGGTTCATTTTTCTTTAGCACTTTGAATGCCTTGAAGATTATTCATCATACACTTTGGAAAATGTTTCTGGAGAATGTTCTTTAATATGACTTAAATTGAGGTGCTCTGAGATTAGTGAAGCTACTTGTTGTTTGTTTCCTCTGGGTGACCTATACTAGGTACCTGTAACTGTTTTGGCAAATTTGCTAAGCTTTACTAGTAAGTATTCTTGTGGCCGTGAAAACCATACAAGACTGAAACTCTTAATTGATAGGTCACATTTGAATATTGCTTTTCACTGATGTAAGTTCAAATCAGGGCATTAGGCTTCAAATGACAGGCCTGTTAGAAACAAATTGAAAAATTATTTAGACCTGAAATGTATGAGGAAATAGGATGAATTAAGGCCAGTAGAATAGAAAACACAAATAGCTTATATTCAGGCCGATCAAGAAAGCATTTACTCCTTTCTTTGAAAATTACTGGGCTTTGTGTTAATTTCATGTGTGGTTTAAGCTAATCTCTAAAGAAGCCCTGAAATACTTTCTTTTTGTAATAGATTCCAATCATAACAGTATATTGAAATCTCCCTTGTTCTTTAGAGTTATACAGCCTTTCAAAAATAGTTAAAAGGATGCTTCTCAAAAAAACAAACACATGGATAGGAGGGATCAGAGGAGGTCAGAGGGATGGAGCACCTCTCCTGCAAAGGCAGACTGAGGGAACTGGGGTTGTTCAGCCTGGAGAGTCCCACTGCAGCCTTCTAGTACCTGGAGGGGGATTGTAAAAAGGAGGAAGATGGACTTTTCATGTGAGCAGGCAGTGACAGAACAAGGGGTAGTGGTTTTAGACTGAATGAGGGCAGACTGAGATCAGATACAGGAAGAAATTCTTTACTGTGAGGGTGGTGAGGCACTAGCACAGGTTGCCCAGGTTCTGGATGTCCCATCCCTGGAAATGTTCAAGGGCAAGTTGGATGGGGCCCTGAGCAACTTGGACTAGTGAGAGGTGAGCAGGCTTATGGCAGGGAGGTTGAAACTAGATGATTTGCAAGGTCACTTCTATGATTCTATAAAAATTTTAATGAAAAAATAGGCCAAGCTCTTTCAAATTAAAACATTGAACAGAAACACTGTTATTATGGTTGACCTGAGATATTTAAATGCTGTACTGTGATAATATAATCTTTACTACTGAACATTAGTTGTAGGGGAGGATGTACTGAAATCAAATGTGCAATTTTGTTCTGGATTTTTTTGGTATTTTGAAGTGATGCAAAACTAGTTGTCAGTGAAACAGGAGAGTGATATCTTCCCTATTTAGTGAAAAGTTTATAGGCAGAATCTGTGAAGAACACCTTTACAAAAAAATAGCTTCACATTTGGAAAGCCACAGATAAAAATTAGTAGTTAAGGAAACCAGCAGTTTTCATGTTAGTAGGAGATGCTCACAATTGTTAATTTAGCTTGTTATGTATGAACTAACCCGTGTTCTGTTGCTGGTGAGTTGGCTTGCTTGGCAGACTAAGGAAAAATATAAATATTATTTCTCACTCCCAGACTTTGTAATTCTTTCATCTGCAAGGAAAAGAGCTCTCATTTCTCTAATTATAAAGTCCAGTAACCTAACTTGATATAGGTATGTTTTAAAAACAACTTATAGCTGGGAAAGCCTAAGGAAAAGCAGTTGTTACATATTGCCAAATAAATCTTACTGGTGTTCTTAATGCATGCCAGGTGTTATTTTTTGGCTCTAATTTATTTAATAAATATTAATAATAGTGTGCTTGTTAGATTGTCTTGGGCCATCTCCATACTGCTTTTCTTTAATTTTTCATCTTCTCTGTCAATTCTGTTCTTTTATTGCAAATTGCTGCTATTCCTTCATGTCTTCTTCACCATCTGCTTTCTTTGTGTTTCATCTCATGTCAGTCCTCTATCTTAGTATTTCCTTTAATTGCTTGTTTCCTATTCTAATGCACATGTATGCATTTCTACTTTCCCGCTGCCACCAAGTAAAAGACGATGTCCAGTTTTAACATAACTTTAGAAATGCCTGTACTGAGCCCAAAAGACAGAGAACAGATTTGGTGTTTCAGCTTACAACCCAAAGGGACCACTACCACCTCCTATATTTCTGGCTGAATATCCTTTTCCCATTATTTAGGGAATCATTTTGGCTGAAAGCAGATATTTTTCACTTGCTGTAGAAATTCCAGCACTCTCCCAGCTATAGTCCCTGTTTCTGGATCTATGTTTGGCAGAAGGGTTGATGTATCTTTAAAAGCAAGCAGCTTGAAGGAGGGTTCCTCCCAGTCCCAGAAAGGAGAAGAAACTCTTTTTCCCAGGCTTGTTCTGTCATTGCACTTCTGCACGTCCCTCTCCCACCCCACTGGTGGTTGTGTTGAAACTCTGCATTGCTGATGCTGTGCAGTTCTCCTGGCTGGCTCATGGAGGGGAAGGGTGGTTCCACTGGCCCACCCTATCCCCCAGGATTTTTACTTCTTAATTGCAGTAGATAGTGTGTGCTTGTTGTGTTACTGAGGTTATTCTAAGCAATACTGTTGTGGAACAGTTACAGATTATCACAGTCTGATTCATAGGAGTTCTAGCAGGCTGAACACTTGGAGGTCCTAACTTTGATGATGAAAGGATGATTTGTAGGTTCATGGAGGCATTACAATTGCTTTATATGCAAAAATTGATCAATATGAATGCTGGGATAAGAGGTGCTAGGGCCCCTGCCTCACCCTCCAAAAATAAATGTAAAAATGCCAATAATATTCAATATTATTCAGAAGTTTTTTTCAGAATTCAAACAGGAATGTTTGAAAATGTGCACATGCTTCTTGTATATCTATATTGTGTATTGTACTTCTGGATGGCTTTCTTGGTAAAGGCAGTCCTACTTGTTTCGATTGAATACAGAATAAAATTGTAACAGATTAGGTGGTACTAAATGCTTTGACTACATTGTAGTGTAGTTTTTACAGTGTAGCTTGTAGTTTTAACTCCAACTGCAAGGTCAAAGGAGATGATGAGTCAATGGGAAATAGTGGTTTCCAGCATTGTTGTTAAACTATAACAGCTATCTTGATGCTATTCCTTTAAAGGCTACTCAAGGTTTGTTGCAAATTATCCTTTAATTTGACGTTTCCCCTTCCCTCCCATCCTCGTTGAGTCCTGGTTTTCTTCAGATTAAATTTGTCATGTAGGGAAGCTGGGGCAGGGCAAACTCCAGGAGTAATTCAAAAGTTTTCTCAGACTTTTGAAAATAATTCTGCACGTTCATGCTCTGGCAGAGCATCAAACAAAGGAACCCAGTCTGCTGTGTAAGACTACCTGTGTCAGATGGTCTGTCTGGCTTTGGCATCAGCTTTCTTCTCCAAAGAAAAGCAACAGCTCTTTTGCTTTAGGCAGACGCAGTTTCTGTATAGGTGTAATAGGTATTCTGACATACCTATTTGGTTTGCAGGCACTAATAGCAATACCCAGGTGCCTTCATTCCTGTTGAATTCCAGCCACCTCTCCACAGCCTCCTGAAGAGATGGAAAGATGGTCATGGTTTGCCTTACTTTGTTCTTTCTCTTTTTATCTGTTCCTCAACATCTTTGTTTACTGTGCAAGTAGTCTCTCGTCTGCCTTGCAATGGGCTTCTTGGTTGGAACCAGCCCTCCCATTTACTGCTCTGACCCCTTGCATCACCCCTCACAGAACTTCCTTTTCGCTGACTTTTTTGGTGTGTAAGCTTTAGCTTTGTACGGTCTTTGGCTTTCATCAGTGATAACCCTTATCAGCCTGCTCTTCTCTTCACAGATTTTTCAGTCTGAGTGATTCCCATGTTTACTTTGAATCTAAAGTAGAAATTATTGCTTCTGTTGCTAGAAGATAGTTAAGGAGACAGCAGAAGACTAAGCTCATAGCTGCTTGAAGAGTTACTGAAAGTCTGTTGTCTGTCTTTTAAATAGCCTAAGTACCTGGCAGATGAAAAACGTGTTTTTAAACACTGTGTTCCAAGACCCTGAAATTACTTCATCTCTGAATAGACTCATGTAACAACTTCTTTTCATAGGATGTGGGAAAAGCAAAGTCCTTTCACTACTAAAATTCTGGTTCTGCCAATGCATTTTCTGTTCTGATGAGAAGTGTCCCTAGTATGTCATGGAGACTGACCTAGTGCACAGTGCTACAAAGCCTAGCTGGAGGCTGGTAAGAGGTGTCTGTGCCAGGCTTGATACTGGTCAGCATCTTCCTTGATGATCTTGGTGATGGGGCAGTGTTCCCTCAGCAAGTTTGCTGATGATATGCCAGAGGGCTGTGCATTCAGAAGGGCTGTTTATGAATTTATCCCGTAAAACTTTTCAAATTATTCTGGGACCTCTGACATACGATTTTTTTCAACTCTTCTCACAGTGATGTAGTAGTGGTTTGATCAGTCATGCTTAGAGAGCTGATGTAAGCACAGCCCATCTTAGAGCGGATTCAATTAGAACTGTAGGACATGGGACTTTTTTGATTTTGTTATTGTTTGTTTGGTAGTTTGGTTTTGTTTTTTTTTTTTCCAGAAAGCAGTTTACCTTGCTCGCTGTTCTTCAGCTTTGCAGGATTAAAACACAACTAATCAAGAATCTATTTCTTAAAACAGCAGTCCAAATCGAACTCTGAGAAGTCTATTGCCCTTCCTTCCTGTTTGTATCATGCTTGGGATCAATTCTATTTCAGATGCATGATAGACACTGTGTACCTTGTAAAGGACTCCATACCTGCTTTTGTCTTTGTCTTTGTTTGTGATCCACTGTGCTTTTGTCTTTGCTTGTGATCCACTGAGTCCTAGTGCTTCTGTTATGCCATCTCAGGGATTGGTTCCCCAGATGGTCTGTGTAGAAAGCTTTTGCAAATTTTTGAATCTTTAGGTGGAAAATTAAGTCAACAGTAGTTTATCATCCTCTGCAGTTGCTAAGGCATGCTGTCTTCTAAAGTTGCTTTCAGTAAGATTTGTATAGACTGTCTTCTGAGCCAGGTAAGGAAATACTTCTCAGAGTTTTATGTCAGCATTCTGCTATGCTGGAACTGTACACTGAAAGAGTTGTAGAAAACTTCCAGAAGAATAACATGAGAATGTTTAGCTGTGAGCTTTGTAAAACTCCAGTTAGTCCTCATGCCCTTTTTCAGTACATTAGCATTAGTGTTGATCTCTGTAGTAGAACTAAGCCTGATGGAAAGCTATGAAATTAACATTTTAAAATTGCCAAAGCACTGTCTTGACATTTCAGTATTGCATAGGAAACACTTATGTTTGTTACCCTTATCTCCTTTCTTCTCCACCACAGAACTCCGCTATGCAACTGTGTACTGGAATAGAGCTGAAAAAATACTTCAGGTCAAGAATACGCTGGACAGGAGTGGAGATGCTTATGGCTTCTACAACAACAGTCTACAGACAACAGGCTGGGGAGTCCTGGAGATCAGAGCAGGCTATGGCTCTCAGACCTTAAGCAATGAAGATATTATGTATGTTGCTGGCTTCTTGGAAGGCTATCTCACAGCTCCGTAAGTACCTCAGGAAGCAACTCAATTCATGACACTTCCAGTGGATTTCTGTACTTGTGAGGTTTTTTGTTGGCTTTCATTGTCCTAAATTCCTTTCCATTTAAACTAATGATACATTTTGCATCTGTGTGCTGTGCTTTTAATTAGTAGCAGGTACAAAGTGTAACTTCATTAAGGGAATCAGTATGTGCCCTCCCCTTCTCATCCTGCAGCATCTCCCAACACCTTGGTGGGATAGATGGGTACTGTATCTGTATTACTGCTTAAGTAATGTAATCACAAAATAATGTAAGTGTAACAAAGTGCATAAGGAGTAGCAAAAAGTGTGGTTATTTCCCCAGCTTGTAGTTTGGTGGCTGATCCGGCAGTTGAGAGCAGCTCAGGCAGGGAGAAATGTTGCTAGCAAGGTCTGCAGGGCTTCCTTAAGGATGTTTTTCAGCAAATATTGTCAAGAAACTGCTAGAGACCAGATACTAAAACTTCACATTGTGGGGAGTTGTCTTGGCCAACTTAAAAAAAAATAAAATATGCACTATAGACCTGAAGGCAGACTGGGGTATGTCTAGAAGGGTTAGTGTTCTCCTGAAAGTCCTGAGGGACTGAGCCTTTCCCACAGTGCATATCTATGAAAAGAGAGAGAATTTTGTACTTGTTACAAATCCAGTGCAGGGTTTTTTTCCTAAAATAAAACAAACAGAAAAATCCATAACCCCAAAAAATAGCCAACCAAAAAAATTAACCAAACTTTGTTCTTTCTGTGGCTAAGTTGGAAGACGGCATGACGCTATGAAATATTCATTGATAGCAGATGGTGGTGCTGGGTTGGACTTCATGATCTTAAGGGTCTTTTCCAATCTTCTAAAAGATTCCAAGGTTCTCTATAGCTGGTGATACAGCTAAGAACATGACATGTGGCTTGTTGTTGAATAAGTTCCATCTTTTGCTCTATCAACACAGTCATAGGAAAAGAAAAATTCCAACTTTCTGATGCTGGGAGAAGTTTGTGATGTCTGCTGTGACCTGACATTTTGGCTTCACCAGCTTTACTTTCAGAGGACTGAAATAAATACCCATAGGCTGTGTTGCACAGGCCAGCAAGGGAAGGTTGTCTGCTGAACATTTGTCAGATATGGCTGCTGGACAAGATTATATTAATTTAATTACTGAGATATTTTAAGACCAGTTAATATTTATGGATAGTTCTCTGAGCATATGATAATGTGACTCTCTAGTAGGTTTTGCTGGTGAGGCACCTAGGTCTCTGGAAATGTACAAAAGATTCAATGAAGTAATATTTGTCAATAACAAAACACTTTTGAGAGAGTGAAGGAGTCCTAAAGTTTATAGTACACAATCTGTACTCCAGACAGGAAAGGAAATTAAGTTCTTGAGGGATCTGTTGTTGGATTATTTGGCGTGAGAGGTTATTGCCTTGCACTATTCAGTCAGTTTCTGTAAATTGTCCCTGAATCTGGGGAATGCTAGCATTGTATTTAGAATATTGTTAAAATTGGGTATTGTTCAGCAGGTTTTTTTCCTAAGGCTTTACCTAGGTGTGTTAATCAATAGGTGATTAAGCTTAAGTTTGGTCATAATACAGGTAGTCCAGTCCATGCTAAGCTCAATTAGATGGCAAGTAGTGCAGTAGTAGGAACAACTCACACCCTTTCCTCTTCTGCCTCCACAGTAGTTTTTTGGGTCTGTTCCTTTTAATGTGGTTTGAATGTGAAAGAGTGTCTGCAGGGATTTATCTTCTGTCTTATTCTGGGCTAACTTTCAGAGGAAGGAGGTTTTCTCCCTTTTTTTTTTTTTTTTCCCACATGTGTTAAGTGAAGATGCACAGAAGTGAAGTTATCCAAGTTATTCTGCTCAAGGCTTTTGCCTTCTGCAGGTCATGTGCTTACTGAGGTTGGTTCCCAGCCGTGACTGCTGTTACTCTAGGGCTAACAGCTCCAGCACTGAGTGGCCCTTTGTAAAGGAGTACATATAGCAGAACTAGTAATGAACAGAAGTGAGCTGAGGGTTTGTATTAATATGGAAAAGTACGGCTTGAGACTTAGGCTTTTAAGCAAAATGGGGAATTCAGCTGTTTGAAAGGAGATTAAGTGCAAGAGTGGGCTAAAATGCAAAACCAGAAGTAGCCAAAGCTTGTCTTTTCTGAGGAGACTTTTTGAGAAAATCCACCAAGAAATCCCCTGGCGAGTGTAAAACCTGAAAATGCTTGCTGTCAATGAGTATCAAATATTACACATACTGTCTGAGTTTAATTTTTTTGGCTATTTCTTTGCCCCACTGTCCATCTGTAACTGCGGTGCAAGTGTATTTCTCACTGAGAGTTACAAACAATTTTTTCTGTCGGTTTGTGTAAAGTTATTTTGGATAAAGAAAGCTTCTCCAGAAGCTAATATCTTTTGAAAATGTTTCAAGTAAGGAACAGAGATGAAATAGTGGTGTACTCACTTGACCCTTGATAAGACAGAGAACCTACTACTTCAGGTTTTAGCTGCGTTACCTTGGTGGGTTTTTATTTGCCAAACTGCAACTAATGAACCCTTTTATAGACTGTGTTTGCAATTTCCTAAATTGCAAGAGAAGTGAGAACTCCCCAAGTCTGCAGATGTTAAGATTGCACTCAGAACTCCATTTCTCCTTCATCTTGCCTAGAAATTTAGAGAATCCTAATTAACATGCAGGCAGATGTTCTATCTGTGGGACAGTTAAACAAGTCTTCTGGAGTAAAACTGGGAAAAACAGCCTTTCTCAATCAGTAACTCTATTCCCATCAGACTGCCTGGCCCATTTAGCCTGTTTTAAGGAAACTCTAGCACCATCACAACTTTCCTTAGAGAAGGTGTCTTTAAACACTCTCTCTTGCGCATGTTGGTGTCCACAGCTCCAGCTTCCCTTTCAAGCTCTCGGTAAGAACAAGGGAGAGCGTAGGTACATGTTTAGCTTTGGGGAAGGCTTTATTTGTGTTGTCAGCCACTTAGCTGCTGGAGTGAAGACTCTTATGTGCCTTACCTGAACAAGCACCTCAGGTGGTTCAGACACAGCCTTCCAATGTGAAAACGTTGGGTGTGCTTGGTAATTGAAGAGCTTTTTAGTACATGGCTACCTGTAGTCTGAACAACTCCATGGTCTCCAGCTGTCCTGCATCCATATGTAATACAACTCCATGAAGCAGACCCAGCGTGGGTCTTTGTAGAAATTCTGGAACTCCTACTAGGAAGAGCTCTGATGTGATGCATTGATGGGATGGGAATGTTGGTGCCTGAACTCATGTTGAAGTACAGCTTCCTGCAGAAGCTGTTGGATGAGCTGGAGGTCCAACTTGGCCTGCAATTTGGAGACCTTCAGGAATTCTCAGCCAGCTGAGATCTCACATTACTCTTAGGGGATGAAGGAGAGTTTCCAGACACAGCTAGGCCTTTATCATGTAAGCAAAAGAGTGACAAAGTATCTCTCTTAAAAGTATATGCCTTGCCTATAGTAGGAACCTAAACAGTGTAAAATAATGAGATTTTTTAAAAAATCAAAATATGAAACATGCTAGAACTGTTTTATATTGGATTACTGGGGCATAATTAATTTCAGCTCTAACTGTATAGGTCAGTGGTAGAAAAAGCAATAGTCAGACCAGTTTTCCAGTGATGGCAGAAATGTAAGTCTTCTCTGGAGCATGCTTCATCTTTCTAATGCTGACACCTGATTCAGAGTATGAGAGTATCCATATGTTTTTAAAATGCCTAGTTAGACATTGGATAAATTGAATCCTAGTGTCTGTAGTGTCTGGGGATCCAAGCACTTGTTTGTATCCCAAATTTCTCACCTTTCTGCAAAGTCCAGTCATATCATCTAGCCAAGGTACTTGCTCTGGCTTTCTTAGGTATGAATTTTCTTTCCCCATTTCTAACAGAGAAGTGTTAATGAGGCCTGACTTTACTTAGCGGCACATCTTAGAACACATCTAAATCTGTGACATTATTTTAAATCAGTTCCAGTTGGGACATGCCAGGTGCCTAAAAACAGTATTTAAATTTGAAGCAACATTAATTTTACTCTTTCCTCATATAGCCTCAGCTGACTGGAGTCCTGTCATCTTCCTTGCTAATTTAAAGGAGGAGGACTCTGCTTTTCTGGTTTTAGGCTTGGAATTCTTGTCCCAGATTTGAACTTGCCTTGTGTTTGGCCTTAAATGTAGTTGCAAAGCCTTACTGTAGTGATCCAGTTTAATTCAGAGAATAATGCCCTTACAGAACACACAAGCCATGCACATAGAACCTTTGTTAAAGAAAAAAAAAAAAAAAAACCAAAAAAAACTGAAGAGAGCAACTGGGGGAAAAATTCTCGATAACCATTGATCATTAAAAAAAAAAAAAAAAATCAATTCCAGGAGTTGTCTGTCCTCTGTCAGCAAATAGGATTGAAAGCCATTAAAGAAGGCGTTTTCAGCCACAATTCTAACCTAACCCAGTCTCTACATCATGACAGCTTAAAGATACTACTGCTGTGAAATCTGCCTTGTGTTGCATAACTTCTGAGTGCAAAACAGAGAGTAGATCTGATGGTTGAGTTGGAAGCCTGATCGTTTGTCCTGGCTTAGGCAGTGGTTAGGGCAGTATCCTAGCTGGATTTTATCTTCCTCATCTGGCTCTAATCCCTAAATGATCATCTGCCAGATGGACCAACTTGTGCTATTTGGTCCTCTTCAGTGACATGAGACTCTGATTTCTGGTATAGACTATGTTGTGCTTTAGCTCCCTTACTAAAATTACTTGGGATTTTTACGTGCCAACTGCTCTGTGAATATGCAGGGGTGGAGAATATTGCTCTCCAATTTTCTTGCCGTCTTCTGGAAGTAGGTTATGATATTTTATGTAGTCTTGCTTTACATGGGAGACAGAAAACTCTAGAACTAAAATTGTTGCTGGAGCTGCAGTTTTGTGAAAAATGTAATGGTGCAAAGCTGTTGAATGCTCTGCTTTTGTTCCAGCATCTCCCTTCCACAGCCTAATTCAAACTACAAATAAAAACAAATCACATTTTTGCTGGATTACTGTATTGCCTGAATGTGTGAGACAATTGGATTTGATTGTCAGAATGGTACCAGAGCTGAGATAAGAAGCAGCAGGATCATGCTATCAAGTTCATGCAATTGTCTGGGAATGGGGCAAGGGACAGAAAGAGGGGAGAAGGTCAGTAGATGATTCTCTAGTCATCAACAAACTGTTCTATCATCTCTATCTGTATTCTTTAATTATGTCCTGAGGGAAACTGGGAAGAGCTCCTGTCTGCATCCCTCCCAGAGAAAGCTGCTCTCATAAGTTTTATTACAGGAATTTTGCTGGCATGTGCTTTCCTTGAGGCTGGTATCTGTTTCTCAGCACTGTTTTCTTTCTCTCAGCACTTGGTAGGAGATAAATGTACTGATGACGGATGTAATTCTATCTCTATCAACTCAAGACCTCAGTGAAATAATTCTCTGCTGATGTCCCCCTTTTTTTTTTTTTTGTTTTAAATTTAATCAGTGACTGAAAAAAATATGTTGGTTAAGTTTGACTCACATTAAGAGAAATGTTGAAGTTTATTTTGGCTTGGATCAGACAATTACATTTCAGCTAAAAAGGAAGGGTGACTTTAATTCTGGTCTCCTGAGCATTTTTTTAACAGCTGATTTCATCTTGAAGTACTTCAAGAAAAAAAAAGCCCTAACCAACAAGGAACAAAGCCCTTTCAGCTTCTGTTTTTAATAGTTAATGTGTGTAAAACAGCTAACTGAATTCAACAACAGAAATAAACACAAGAGTTTTGGTCTCCATGAAGCTAATCTATTTAGGGCTGCCATGAGTGGGAGTTTCTGTGGTAACTTGTAGGATTGTCTTATACACACTTAAAAATGGAGATACTTAGCTTAAACAGAAAGGAACATGGTTACTGGCAAGTAAAACCTGCTAGATATCATGCTGAAATTCTCTCTCTGAAGAGTGAAATGAACTCAATCAGCCAGTTATATTACCTTTTCCTCTGTGGTTCTTTTGATTCCAAATAGCATAGGTCTCCAGAAAACTATTTTTGTTGTGCTTAAATTAATGTGATAATGCTTTCAAGATGCTTCTGGCCTACAAACATTCCCTGAATGTGCAGTTTTGTTATGAAGTAGTTCAATCTCATTCTTGCTCATCTTCTTTCCATTGTGCAGCAGTTTGAGCAGTCATTGGCAAGGTAATTTATTTTAAATCACATTTTAACAATCCTTTTGTGTTGCTTTTGCTCTTTGTCATGCACTGGAGTGTTTTCTGTGAGTAGAAAGAACTTACTTGGTGGACTGTGTTGCTTGTCTGTCAAGGCATGTTAATTAACTGGTTGGTAAACCGAAGATGCAAAGGAATAACTCCAGTTACTCTTGTTCTTTCAGGCAAATGTATGACCATGCTGCAAATATGTATCCACAGCTAATTAAGACTCCCACCATTCGAAGAGGAGTTCAGAATTTTATGGCGTATGTATTTATTTGCTAAAAAAAAATCAGTCAAGACTTGGAGTTGGAGGATGACAGAATTTTCAACCTTTTTTTTATTATCTTCCTTATGGGCTGAGGGAAACATATGCTTCCTTTCCCTCTGATTGAATGCCATTATTATTAAAAGAAATTCTAAATATACATGAAGAAGTGCATATGCCCTTCCTTAATTCTGATTCTTTCAAAGAAATGTTTGAGACCATTGCTGCCAAAGGATGGGGAAAATGTCAATGAATTCTGAAGGTCATTCTAGTAAAATTCTGGTTTTGAAAAGTTGATATTTTCAATATTGCACTGAACAGTGGTCTCCTGACAGCTTAATCTTTTTGCATTGTGTATCCTTTTCTTCTTCTGTTAGGTTATTTTAATCTCCTTAGACTTGTGTTTTTATTCCATTACCATACTTGTTTGAAATGGTCACTTTTGGTAACTGTTTTTTTTCCGTCTCTGCCTTGTCTTGCCCTTTCCATAAGGGGTTGAATATCTGATTGTTATTGGTGTGCATATATAAAGCTAATTGGTTTTAGCTTATCCAAAGCATAGAACAAAGAATCTGAGTGCTCCCTTGCTATCATTTTTCAACATTGCTGTGCTTCTCCTTATGAGAAAAATGGGACAGTTACCTATATCAATGTGTATATGTTTTTTCCTAGAAAGACACAGCATAGCAGCTGTATTCCCCAAGATGCTTTGCTGGATGAAGAGGGCAATTCTAGGTGGCCTTGTGTTGCTTTTCTGTTGTCTCTATCCTTAACTCCTGCATCACTGCTTTACTTTATAGCAGTTTTGCAATATGGATTGCTGTGTTGTCTTGGAAGTCCTTAGCCCTAAATGCTCTGACCATATCCCTATTTCCTTGGACATACTTCTTGCATCATGTTGTTTCTAGAAAGCTAACTCTGGTTGGTTTTCTCACCCATATGCTGCTGGAAGAGTCTGCTTCCTTTACAGGTTTGTCCTCTCTATTTTGTTACTTTACATAGTGCTGGATGGATAGATACAGGAGGATGGAAGAGGCCAGCATCTGATTCTCATTTCCTGTGGTTCTTTTGTGGTCCTTTGTGCACAGCAAAAGAGAGAATTCTGAGAGATCCTTACAATGTTGGTGCCTCTTGCCCTAAGGTCTGTTCAGCTTGTGTTGCCTCATGCTCTAAACCTGGGCAGTTTGGCTCCTGACTGGATCTGGCACAGGGTACAGTTGTTTGGCCCCGCACCTGCTACTCAGAGGAGCATAAACGTGGTTCTCAGGCAATGTTTGAGCACCACCAGCAGAAAGCCCTCATTGCACTTGAACCTGGGGAGAGAAGGAGGCTCTTCAAATGTCAGTCTATTTTTATTCTTAAATAGACATTTAAAAGGGAATGTTTCATCCAACCTATCAAACACTTGTTTCCCTTTACTGACTAAATTTGCTATAGCAAAATCCTCCACAAACATGAAGTCCAATTCCTTCTTTGACACTAAAATCTGGTAGAGGCACATGATTGTAAGGTATTTTGCTTAAGTCTGAACACTTACACTTGAAGGATATAATGCTTATATCTTCAGGATTTCCAAAGCATGATTTGCCTCAAATCTTCAGTAAGACTGGACCATGTGGTCATAACGTATTTTCCCCTTCCCTGCATTATCAATTATACTCTAAAAGAACCCAAGAAAACCCCAACCTGTTTGTTCCTCTGCAGGAAGCAAGATCAATGGACAAGACAACAAATCAGAAATAACAAGGATGACCCATTTTGGAGGCATGCTGGCTATATTATTGCACAGTTGGATGGTCTGTACATGGGAGCCCTTGAGTGGGCTAAACTACATAAACTAACAGTAAGACTACTGCACCTCTTTTTCAGTAGCTGGGGCTGGGATGTCAGTGGACAAACATGGGAGAAGGGGATCCACTTTTTAAAAATAAAAAACAGAAATAGGATACTTAGTGGCAAGTATGCCTTTTGCATGCCATTCTGCAAAATCTTTAGTGGCTGTTCAGTGTAGGTAATGTGACTGAGCACTTGGCCCATGTAACCACAGGTTCTTCACAAGGGGCTTGGAACCCTGGGCACTCATGTGGTGATTAAGTTGGGGGTGGCTTTTGTATCCATATGAATGTTGGAAGGACAGACACTTCTAAAATGCTTGTTGCTGTCACTTTGCAATTGTTATTGAGCAAATGACCCTTTAGGTATAAAGAGTACTTGCAACAGCATGAATTAAAACTTTCATTCTTATTTCCAAGCATTAGATTTCAAATCCTAAAAGCCTTTCTATCTTAGGGTATGTTTTATTTTACTAAATGACTTCTCCTTTTCTGTTTTTTTACGTCTCAAAAATATATGGTTACAAAAGATATGTTCTGTGTTGTGGCAGGTCAGATGGGATAGATTTTGGGGTTTTGTTGGGTGGTGGTTTAGTTGGCTTTTTTTGTGTTTTTTCATAATTTGCTTTTCCTTAATTTCAATTAGAATTGTATTCCAGATCATCAGCTTGTATGTAACAACAGAACTCCTTTAACTCCAGTAGAGATATGGCAATTATAATGCTGTCCTGAAGTCTAATATCTAATAGGTTTTTCAGTGTGAGAGGAAGGACTTGAGTAATTGTGGTTGACCTTCTTACCTAGGTTAATCATACCAAGAATTTTGAGAAGTTGGGAGTTCTGAATTGTAAACAGTTGTATTTTAGTAAAATATACATCTTTCTTGCATAGAAGTCACTCTGGGGCTTTCATGAATGGGGAGTCAGATAAAACTGGAAAAAAAAAAAGCATTTGTAATAATAATCCATCCTGAGGGACCTGAGTTTGTAGGGGAAGACACTAGAAACCTTGACTTTCTAGGAAAAGAGCACATTAATGTCCTTTTGTAACTCATGTATCTGAAGAGCCCTGTCAAGCTCATCAGGTTTTTGGTTTTTTTGCTGCTTCAGAATCTTTTAGATTCATATGGGGAGAAGGGAAGAGTGCTGGCTTGTGTCTGAGTTAATTCTTTGTAGCAGGCATGTCCTGCCTGCAAAGTGTGTTCCCTGATGCTTGCTTATTTAACCATGCATTTGATACTAAAAAGTACTGACCTCTGAAGTGTTTGAATAATTTTTATCCTCTTTTTAGAGATCTCACTAGCATGCCTATATAAAAAGGGTGCATTTGGTGAAAGTTCCAATGTGTGGTTCAGGCTGAAATGTATGTGTCCTCCATTATCAAATTATATGCATTAATTTTTCTTTTTCTTTTCCCAAATGTGCTTGCAGCAGTTGGTGGGATTTATTTTGACTCTTTTCCATGCCAGGCACAATTTTGGCTTTGGACATTATCACCTATGTTGAGATGCATATACTTTTATTCAAAGCAAAAATGTTCACTGTGTATGTATTTCTTACTGCAAATGGTGCTGCTGTTTCCTCTCTTTGCCACAGCCACTAAGTTAACATCAGTCCTTGTCTTTGAGTACGTTCTGGACAGCTGCTCTTGCAGCTAGGTCCTTGGTTTTTCTTGGCATCAAATGATACCTGACATTCTGTAAAATGTTCTGTAAAAGTAGAGGAAGTTCATTTTGTTGGATACCACGATGCTTTTCAAGTACTTTTGAGAGATTAGGCTATCACTGTGTGTGCATATTTATTGCTGTTAGGATCTCCTTCAGGAAACAGAGCTTGAGGGCTGTTGCTGTGAGCTTACATGGGCAATAAAAACAGGTGCAGCTGCAAAGCTTCTCACGAGTATTCTAGCTTTGACACATCCATTTATCTGAGAATCAACTCAGCTTCTGTGAACTGTTGGCACTTAAAAGCCCCAACTAAACTCACAAACCAACCAAACAAGCAAAAACACCACCAGTATCTTCCTTATTCCTTGTGATTAAAGAGATCTACCAACCAAAGTGCAAATAAATTTACCTAGTAGATGATTTTTGTACTTATTTTTAAGTATTGTACTTATTTTTAAGTATTTTACTTATTTTCAAGTATTGGCTCTATTAACCCAATTGTTTTGATTTTTTTTTTTTTTGGACAACAACTCCAGTAACAAATACTTTTCCGTTACTCAAGTCTCAAAATAAAACAATCAAAGAAATTTCATACTGAAAGTCTCTGTAACAAATTCTGCATGTTTTTAAAAGCAAATCTCATTCCTATTGCACATTTTCCTCAGTGCTTTGAAAGTCTCTTCTTATCTCTTTCCTTTAGTAGGTACTATTTTGTTTCATTAATAAAATAATCCTTTCCATGTGTTTATTGTCTTTGGATTATCATCATCAGGAACAAGTTTATCTTTTGATCTCTAGTAATTCAATAGTTTGAATTAATGGTGGTAATGAACATCAGAAATATTAAAAATACCTCTTGTATGAATTAGGGCATTTTTATTTTCCTTTTTTTTACCCACACTCAAACAAAACGAAAGAAACCCCATAAACCCCAAACAAAACCAAGCCAAAACTCAACATGTGACAATCTGTATTTTGTTGCCTGATGTTCTGATGTTCTACTTGCTGTTGGGAAAGCTACGTGTACTTCTAAATTCAACACGTTATTCTGTATACGTAGAGGAGAATTGTTCCCACTGTCTTAAGCTTAAAATAAGAGTAAATGCTGTAGAAGAAAGGCTAGGAAGGTTTTCCCCTTAACTCCCAAAACACCAGAGACATGAGAAAGAGAAGGGGAAGAGGAGACAAGTTTCAAGGTTCTGATGTTTCCCTGCACCCTGAATGATCATACATAGACAAGATGCTCTCCTGAACACTAGAAGGTGTTTGGTTGACATGGATAGGCAAAAAGAGATAAAGGGGATGAAGAAAAGGAACTCTGTTTACAAAGTCTTTGAATTAACACTGAGCACCGGGCAAGTTGTATAGAACTATTTCCTTTTCAGGAGACTGAAAACAAGCTGTTTCATAGCTAATCTGCTTTTAATTTTTTAATTCTGTTTTCTGGTACTATGTGTGGTAGTTTGAAACCAGAGCCAGATACTTCTTAAGAGAGAAGTGGCTTATGTGCACACAAGTAACTCTGAAATGTTCTGTTTTTCTGCTCTCCCCTAAAATTCAGGTTGCTTTACTTGAATACTGTAGAACCACTGTGTCTGCCACAAGTAACTGAGCCTTACTGCAGAAAGAAAATTTGGTCTTTTAATGGTTTGATAGTAGCACTAGTATATATTTTTTTGTTCTTTCTGAAGGAAATGCTTTGTATTGTATTGTTCTAAACTTTGGGTTTTCATTGCATGGAGTCTGTCCTCCTGAGGACTACTTCAGGTAGATTCTTCCATTAAGACCTGCATGAAGGCATTGTAAACATCTGTATTTTGAATTTGATATTTACAGGTATCATTAAGAGTGATGGCAAAATTTGAATACATCTTTATGTTAAAATGTGACATTATTCCATCTGGTTTAGCAACATTTTATATCCAGTAAACAAACCCAACCCTTTTGTCAAGACAATTTCTGAGGGAGGGGCACTCAAAGAACATAAAGCCTTTTCATCTGCCTAATGCTCTTCCAACACTGTGATTAATCTTGGGCTTGTCTACGCAGGGATATTACTCTTGAATAAGGAGGTGTCAGAGTTTTAAATACTAGAATGACTCCAGGATAGTTTTCTATTTGTACTTCCTTATTTTGTACTCAGTGTTCAGGCTTGGAGAAGTTACTGGAAAACAATTGTTATTGAGTAACTTGTCTATTTTAATGTCCCATGTGAACTAGCCTTTAGGGCTGGTTCTCTCCTTTCTGCTGCCCTTTGTAAGTTTATTTCTCCCTTCCTTGGATGTAACTCAAATGGATTTTTCTTTTGCTGTTCAGGACAGCACCCTAGAGGAGGCACACATTCTCACAGAAGGATTTTGATGTGGCTTTACACCTCTCTGCTTTTCAGTTTAGTTAATTCATTCTTCTTCAGGATCTAAATGATGTTTATAAGGAGTTTTTCTGACATTGCTGTGTGAGATGGGAAAAAGCGATTACAAAAAAATTGTAACGTGCCCTATATCATGCATTGTTATGATGCAGTTTTTTGGGTCTAATTCTTTCTAGTGGACACTGATTAACTCTTCAGAGAGAAGATTTCTCCATATATCCTGGAAATCAGCTGTAGTTTTTCCAAAACTGCGGCTCTCAGCTGTTTTGTGGCAAATGCTTCAGACCACTCCTGAAATTCTCAGATTGGGCCTGCAGTGTGTCTTCTGTTTAAATGCATTGTTTTACTGAGACTCCAGAGGAGCACAGTGCTTATTGATGTCACATCAGACAGTCTTAAACACAAAACCGGGTTTATTCAAGGAGGGTAGTGAATTTTTGGAAATAAACTGGAACAAAATTTGCTTGACCCTCAAAAAGGGGGTGAAAACAGAACTCTAGGGGGTGCTTAACAACCTAGTCTCTCTTTTGCATCTCTGATATTTTGCTGGCTTTGGCAGCTGGCAGCCTAATCTCACCCAGTGCCTTAGGAATTTGCATAACCTGTGCTTTGAGTGGGTCTTTCCTCCTGCTCTCCGGGCACCTTTCTCTGCCTATTGTTCTGAAAGCTTCATTGCTTGGTACTTTGGTTCTAATTTGAATGGGCTTCCTAATAGTTACAGAAGTTTTGATTTGGAGTGATGGTAAGAAAGCACAGACATGAAACTTCTAAAAAATACATAGGCAATTCTGACCATTGCTGTAGCAGTATCAATGTAGCTACCTGTAGATATTACAGTGAAAGCAGGTTTTATTAAGGAGAATATGGAGTGGTAGCAAATTGATGTCAAGTACAATTAAAATATCTTGATTGCTGGAGCAACCTCATGCAAGCCAGTTTGCTCCCTTCCTGGTGGTACTGTACAATGATGCCTGTGTGAATCAGACATTGGAAAATGGCTTTTTCTTATTGTGTGGTGGGTTTTCAGTGCAGCTGGATGGGGAAAATGGTGCTTAAACAGTGCCGTCTCTGTCTATGTATTCCAATGAAATAGAAGTTGTGACTGGTTTGTAACTGATTCATACCTCTAAGTTGCTTAGAACTATCCAAAGACACATCTCTTGATCTTGCTCCCTGTTTGGATCTTTACAGCAAAAACATGATGAACTAAAGCAATGTAACGCATTAAAGTTTGTTTTGGATTTCTCCCTCAAACTATAGCCATTGTTGGGGCCTTCTACCATGCATGGTTTTAATTGTCAGAATGGCTTATTTCTCTTGTCTGTAAACATTGTGGGAAGGTCTAATTCCTTCCTATGGGATGCATGGACTGGAGTTTACGTGATTTCTGGTTTTCCTCTTGATTATTCTTTTGGCCAAAGCAGCAGATGGATAACACAGAATTCAGAATTCAATATTTTATTGAATATATTATATTCAATATAAAAATATTCAGAATACTTTTATTCTGAATAAAATGTAAATGGATTTGATGCTGTTTCATTTTTTCTTGTCCCCCTTTATTGGGGTTTGTAGAGAGGTCATCTATATGGTTTAGTAACAGGGTTTTAAATTTTTTTAAAAATTTGTTATTATTTATTATTAGGGTTGTTTGTTTTTTTTTGTTTTTTTTTTTTTTTTGCAAGTAATGTGTTTCTTTGCTAAATGATTATGTGGCATTATAAAATTACTATTCACAGCACCACAGTGATGTGTGTTCTGACTTTTTTTTTCTTAAGCCTTGCCTAATAGAAGGCATGGTAAAAGCAAGAACAGGAAAGATTTAGAAAATGGTATTTGAAGGTTGAGGTTAAACCACTATTAAGCTCTTATTTTTGAAAAGGCAAAGTAAGAGGAGGTTCTAAAGAGCGTGTTGCACAACCAGCTGTGTGTAGTTAACCCTGTTAACCCTGGCTAGCTCCAACCATAAGGAGTTTTCTAAAGCACATAGCAGAGTGCCTTTTGACTGACTTTCTTTATTCAGCTATTTGATTGGTATTTATTACCATTTTTTTCCTCATTTGTTTCTTCCTCCTGAGTCCTGAGGATATCTTAAATTGCAGTGTTTATAAAAACCTGAGAGCTCCCAAGAACATTAGTAGAAGATGCTTCAAAGACATCTAGATAAACAAAAAAATTAAATTTTATCACAGTAAATCCATAACAACGGACTGATTGGCGTGCTGCTTGCAAATACACTCTAAGGTACAATTACACACAATTACATCTTCCTTTTTGCCTCAGAAAGTAGCATTGGTAATGCCACTGCAAGGGCCAGAACCTGAAAGTTTCCTCAGTGCTTGGTGCCATACTGAGTGTGAGCCTCTGGGCCTTGTCAGTAGGCATTTCATAGACCATACAAGAGCTTCCTTCTTGAGAAAAAGAAAAATTCTAACCACTGAAGCTGTCTTATTTCTCAAAGTGTTTTTTGTAATCTTCTCCTTTATTCAGCCACTGAGCAACTTTGATGTCCAGTTTCTGAATGCAGTGGGAGACCTGTTGGACCTTATTCCTGCATTATTTGATTATTCTGCGCGGGGTGGACAATGCAATGTGGATTCAGGAGGCCATGGGAGATACCAGTGGGACATGGGACACTGCTCTGCACTGATCAAGGTGAGCACCAGAACTTAATCTCCAGTGACTGTGTTGATTTGCAGTGTCATGAATCTGCATTTCTGGAGTCTTCCCCGTTCATGTTGCATGTGCATAAAGAAACTTCTGTCAATGATCAAGATGTATATATGCAGTTGTCATTTGTGCCTCTAGGATTTTGAGTCCAGTTTTTCTCACTTGTGTTCAAGTTGAGGGAAAAGACCAAACCAAAACCACGGAGATGGGTGTTGAAAAGCTCTTAGAACTACTAGGGAATGAGGAACTGTCAAGGAGAGGAGACTGGATGAGAATAACTCATTCACCTAGAGAAGTGAAATCTGAAAAGGGGTGTTGTGAGTGACTACAAATACATTGGGCAAATAGGCAGGGAAAAAAGGAAAAGGATAATTTAAACTAAAGGACAGTGCTAACATAAAAACAAATGGAGGCAAGTGGCTGATGTTTTCTGTTAATAGTGATACCTTTGAATGGCTTTCGAGTAGGAGTGATGACAGAAAAAAATGCACAGTTTTAAGATAAGTGACTGATGCATCATGGTGGCAATTACATTTTTTCAGTTAAAATTAAGGAGATTTAATCAGCATCTGGAGACTCAATGTATCGTAGAACAACAATATTCACCTTAAACTGAGAAACATTAACTGAAGCATTTGCCTACAGTAAGAGGTTTCTGAGCTCACAACAAATCGTAGAACCAGGGAAATATTTTGAAGATATGTACCCTCAATATATATATTTACCTTTTCAAATTAAATTTACTTGCATTTGCTTCTGTACTTCACCTCAAAATGAACCAGAGGAATTCTCACAGATCAGCATGTTTTAAATTGATGTTGGATATGTTTGAAAAGATCTGATTTGAATGTGTGAATAGAAATACTCCGAATGAAACTGGGGGAAAACCTATACCATGTGATGCAGGTATCCCAAATAATCCCACAATGTTTTATTTTGAAAACAACACATGGGCAGAAATTGTTTCAGGAGGTTTCAGAAATTCATTTAGTACACAGCTAAAAGCATAATAATCTGCTCTTTCTTCAATAATGCAATTAATCAAACTACTTAAAACAAGTAGTTCTCCCAGTTTCTGTCAAGTAGAAAACATGCAGAATGTCATGAGGTCTGAAATCATTAATCTTTCTGCTTCTGTATTCCAGGTTCTACCTGGATATGAGAATATATATTTTGCCCATTCCAGCTGGTTTACTTATGCAGCCACACTGAGAATATATAAGCATTGGAACTTCAATATAGTTGATCCATACACCAGCACTGGCCGTGTCTCATTCAGTAGTTATCCAGGTAAAGTCAAGAAAACCAAAACTATGTAGATAGTCAATTTGGCATGGACCACTTTACTGTCTTGTAGCTGTCCTGCCTGTGAAAAGGATGGTAACACAACGAGCATTGGCTTCAGTCTACCTTAGAACTTTTAGCAACCAAGAGGACAAAATGACAGCTTGAATTTTCTGTCTTGAACATGATACTGTTGTCATTGTCTTTTGTAGTTGATTAATCACCTTCAGTGCTCTGAATAGTATTGGTTAAATATTTTACCTCTGGCACAAACGTGCTGCTTTGAATTCTGCTTGTGTAGTCTGCAGTCATCTCAAGTGCTGAACTCCTCCTCACCATGCCTGTAGCATTCACATGTTTGGTAACAACAATTTTGAGTGCTTCTGTTTACCACTGTGACATGACTCCTGCTGTAATGGGATTATTACTGAATATCAAACACTTGCTGTTTGAAAGTGTATCAGCTTCTTTGATGTTGGGTTCAGGAGCCTTCAGTTGTTTTGTTTTGTTTGTTTGGGTGGTTTTTTTTTTTTTTTTTTTTTTTTTGTTTTTTTTTTTTTTTTTTTTTGGGGGGTTTTTTTTTTTTTTTTTTTTTTTTTCTTTCCCCCCACCCCCGACATCTTCCTTTCTAGCTTCTCTATAAGCTGTTGCAGAGGAGAGTATGTTTTAATGCTTATTTGGTGTGTTAATAATATAGCCAGCCAAAATATTAAGAGTCTCTTTTGGGGAGATTAGGCCAAATGTTAGAAATCGCCAGCAAATAATGTTTTGAGTAGCAAAATATGTGCTCTTGGTACAGAATAGCACCAAGAAATGGGAACGTGAAAAACCAAAGCAAATCTGTAATTCCCTCTTAGAGCTGACATTGCATAAGTTTTTAGAGGTGAAATTTCAAGTTCAAAAATACCTAAACAGTCAAGAATCTTCATAAAATATTTTAAATTAAGTAAGTACCATAGGAGACTATCTCATTCTCATGAAATTTTGTTGGCTGATGGTTCCAAAATATGCTTTGTTGAGTAATGGTGTCTTACTGTAAGGGCAAGGGTTCTTCATGGCAGGGGCTCCTAAGACTGTGACTGGGAGAATGTTTTGAAAAGCAGTTGCATTAATTTCACATTGAAAACAAGCCTTTTTCTGTGGGGGTCTGGCCCTCCTCAGTGACCCTTCTCAGGAATGCAGCATTTTCTGACAACTGAGATTTTTAATTTGAGGATGGGATAGAGGTAGTCTGAATGTCTCTTAAGTGTAAAGCCTTTCAAGAGCTTGGGTTATCTGCCATTGCCTTGAAGGAATTTCACTTGCTTGTTGCAAGGAATTTTGCCAAGCCTGTAATTTGGTTGAAAGCAAAGGTTTCTGAGCTCTGTTGATCACGTGAATGTTCATGAGGTTATTCTGGCTCTCATATCTCTCAGCTGAAATACTGATGATAGCACTACCCTTGACAAGAATGTGGCTCTATTTAGCAACTGTTGTATGCTGCATTGTGCTGCAGATTCAAAATTGCGGATCAAAATCAGCCAGACAGAACATTTATTATTTTATTTTTAGTGGATGTCTGTGGTGATGTCTTACAGTGGCCCCTTTTGTGGATTCTTTGTATAAGGAAATAAAAATATTCTGTTTTTATGAGTCTGGTAAAGCGTAGCGTGTTGCGGGATACCTGAAAATCAGCTACTACTTTGCTGAAATGGTTGGGGTCTGTTCATTGGTGTACAAAATCCCAGTGTGCTTCCCTGAGAGTGCTGATATCTGTAGAGATGGCTCATTTTAAAGCCTCCTACTGCCGTGTGGACTCTGGCATAGTAATGTTGGAAGGTGTACTTCTACCAACAGAATGAGTGAGAACTGTTGCAAAGCATAGTTCCCATGGCTACAGTGACATTTGAGAGGTCTGTGGTATGCTGAGGGTGCTCACTGATTACAGGGTGCTGTCACAAGCACTGGACAAGCATGGTCCATTGACTGCAGCAAATTGCATTAGCTGTGGGTGTAGTTCACAGACTTGCAGTTTTCCATGGCATGAGTAAGCACTGGCCTAGTAATGCTCCAGGGACATCACGTAGGAAGGAGGCAACTGCCAAATTCCTCTGCTCAATGTTATGATAGATATTTTCAGAGCAGGATCTGACTCTGGAATCTGCAGCTCCTGGCCATGGTTCAACCTGACAATTGTAATGTCTCCTTGCATAAATGTTCCTGCTTTTGGTCTCTGTCCTCACAGACATAAGAACCAGTAAGAAAGGCCAGCCTAGTAATTTCTCCTGAACAGTAGCATGGTCCTATGGACATATTACTATTAACTCTGGAGGAAACAGAGAGCACTAAAAAACAGGCACCCTTGTAGGCCTCCAGCGACACTTAACTGAGTTATTCAAAGATTTTTGTCATCCAGTAAGATAGGATATGAAGTAAAACTATGCTGCTGTCTAAAAGGTGTGTCAGAAAATGTTAAGAGGTCATTTGTCTTCTGAGAAGGAATGTGCCAAATCCATGATTTCTCCTGGATAATTTTACTCACAGAGTAAAATTATCCATATTATTTTTTTATTTACTGAATTTCAAAAGACAGGCTACTAGATTGCAAAAATTAGTACTTGCTGTGACTCAGTTTAGAGGTTCTGAGGCTATTGACTAACCATGATTTGTGTTAGGGTGTGCATTGTGGTACAGCTGGATGTACTTCTTGCACTTCTTTGCTCATGTTGTGAGTGAGCAGGTAGGAGGACAGGCAGGAATTACAGAGTCCATCCCAGCTTCCCCAGCAGTTTTCAGTGTTCTGCCACCGAGTTCAATTGTTAACAGTATATCTTCTGTGCTGCTTTCTCCCCTTCAGAGCAGCAGTAGTCCTGCAGAGGCACAGTCAAATGGGAATTAATGGGAGTTGTAATCTCTGTTTTTGTAGAATGATTTCTTTACTTGCTGCTCATTTCCACACTTAACTCACCTTAATTCTCACTTGAACTCTGCTCATAGTCTTAGTCTGCAGAGCTGCACGTAGGACAGTTCTGTGAACCTTTGGACAGGAGGAATGTCTCTGAATTGAAAGCTTGAGCTTCATTGTCTTCTTCAAGCTCTGGACATGAGTACTTCCTGTGGCTTGTGAATCAATGCATAGCGGAGAGAACTGAAATTGTACAGAGAATGTTCTTGTTCCTCACAAATGTTGAATGAAGCTGTGCTCATGTGAGGGAGTAAGGAAGTGATGATAGAGACAAGGTAGGTTCTTTGTTTTGTGCCACATATCTAGTGGTGGATCAGACAGGAACCTGCACCTCTCCTCCCTCTGTGCCCCTTTCCCTCCCCACCTCCAGTCAATTCTTTACACTGCCCATTGAGGCATTCAAAGAAATGAGCCAAACTAACTGATAAAATTTATGATTTTCTTTGGATAGCAGGGGGGTTACAGCTTCCAGGATTTTAATCCATTTGGATTGAGCTCTTTTGAACTCCATTTGAGAACAGGAATGTGCCATTTTGAGTAAGCACTCTGGTTTGGATAGTGAACTACCTTCTCTGTGCTGAGCCATGGTCTTCTAAAGTATGTTAATTTGATTTTAGCAGCTTAAACAAAAACAGCTGAAGAAGGGCAGCTGAAGACTTATACTTGTACCTTTCTATTGGGATCTTTCTTGGTTGAGTTAGGCGGTGATATGGGATTAAGATGGCACAAGTTGTCTTGATGGATGACTATACATGTCATATACATATCTATCTATCCACCCATCCATCCATGCTAATGCAGGAGAGAGGTAGTTTGTGTCTCTTGCTTTGAAGTAATCTGGTGTTAGTGCAGCATAATCCTTCCCCACAGCTTGAGGAAGAGCTGGGAGGAACAAACCATGGAAAAGGTGGTAGCCTTTGTTCTCAGGAATACCTTGCTCATGAGGCATTCCCAGACCATTTCCTGCTTCCTCCAGCATCTGTTTAAAACCTGGAGAGAAGGAAAGGAAGGTGTGGTGAGCTTTGGAGATGAAACCAGAGCTATAGTGTGGTGGGTGATATCTCTTATTGCCTAGGAGAGATGTGCATGTGGAAGGGAGGCAGCTGATGGGCGCTCAGTCTTGACATGAGAAGCAACTGCTGGTTGTCTGATGATCTGGAGAATACCTTTATTTTCCCATATTCAAATGTGCTTATACACCAGAGCACTGGGCATCTCAGCCAGGAGCTACTCCCATCCCTGAGAGGTGGGCTAGACCTCATAGCTTTGACTTCTAGTCTTTGACTTCTTTCTGTAAAGCTGACCCTTGCTGCACTTGAAAGAGCACAGTGACCTTTTAAAGCACCAAAAAAGCTGATGCTGTCTGGTTCAGAAAGCAGCAGTCTACCTCTTTCAGAGCAGTAGTAGCCAGGAACGTGCTGCCACTCACATGCTCTTTGATGTGCTGACTTTCTGGAGAACACTGTGGCACAGATTGCAAAAAATGCTTTGCTTTGCTTGGCTGATTAATGTCAAGGTGAGTGAAACTATATTCTGGAAACTTCTGCTTTCCAATGGCATTTGGAAACTAAATCTAAATGGGTCAGATCCAGAAAATGCAATCAGAAGTAGTTTTGCTTGTTTCTCTATAGAGTTGTCAGGTACATTGGAGGGAGGGGTTAAAAAAAATCCAAGAAACAGTAAAACAAAACAAATTTGACTGAGTGTTCCTAACAAAAATGGGAGGTGGGTTTGCAGATATGGTTTTACAGGAAAAACATAGAAGAAGCCTACAGTGAGGTAACACCTTCAATTACAACAGATTCTCATACACACTTAGAAGAATGGCTCAAGAGGACATAAAACATCTGCTGATATCTCTAGACTTCTCTACCCAGGTTTTATTTTTCTGGATGTCTTCACCATGGGTAGCCTGTTGCTTGTGTTTTAGCTTCCCTTTGTTTCAGAGTTGCCCATGCCTAAAATCAAAGTGGGGTATGCCATCTTGGAATTATTAGGCCGTTACCATTATTATTAGTAATGGTGTATCATGGAGGGCATGTTGTGTTATAAAACATTGCAGGATAAAACTTGGTAAATACTAAGGCCCAGAAGAAAATCCCATTCTTTTCAGCTTAGCTGAACTTTGCACTTTATTTGAATTACAGAGTTCAACCTTCAGTTAATTCAGCATCATTCCTTGTGTTAACACTTGTTTTGAGTCAAGCTTTTCTGTTCTATCTCAGCTGTTGATTGAAATTGAAGAGAGAAATTACTTGCTTTGTTTTGAAGTAGGACACTTGGCATTGTGATTCACAAGAATTGATGCTCAATTCACATCACAATTGTTTTAACAATTTCAATTATTGGCTGTGTCTGGGCAAGCACCACTTGACTTGTTGTGTTGCAGGTTATTGCTAGAGTATCCCAAGTCCTTGTATAAAATAGACTGGCAGAGCCAAGTTTAGGGTGTTTCTCTTCTCCTTACTTATTTGAGGGAGATCTCTGCTGATAAGGTATATAATGTATTGTGTCTCTCTTCGTGAGTATTACCAGATGCCAGAGTGCTCAGTCTATTCTATACTGATACCTTTTTAGAGCACAGATGTCTACACAGTGTATTTTCCTGGATCTGTTCTAATTTGAGAACTTGCTTCTTCAAAGAAATTTTGCTGAACCAGAGCCCTTAAACATTGCCTAAGTTTTTAGAGATGAAATTTCAAGTTCAAAAGATGGTCTGCCTTTTGTTAAAAGCCCAGAAGTAGGAGGCAGAGCTGGGTTGTCTTTCTTGCTGTCATAGTTTGGTGACCTTTGCAGATTGTTTTAATAAAGTTTGCTGTGGAAGGTTTCCTAGAGGAGCTAAACTATTATGGTACAGCACAGCATTTTAGCATTTTGTAGTCTTTGAAGACTGATGCTATTAAAAACTTCATAACAAGAGTTTAGGTTCTGTACGACTTCCCCATGACCAGCTCAGTTAACAACCTTTCTTCCCCAACCTGGCAGCCACATATCTGCTGAGTAATCTAAAGGCCAAGTTATTTCTGCTCTACAAGTAGTCCCCATACTATCCAAGGCATATAGCTGACCTTTGCAGCTCTGCATGCCACCTCCTGGCAAAGGGTTTGCAAATGGACCTTGCACTTCTGTTGGCATGTAACCTGGAAGGGAATCCTACCCACAGATCCATCACTGTATTGACTTTGCAGAGCTGGCAGGAATAAAAAACCCCTGTGACAATGTCAGGAAGAGGAAGTAGGTAGAGCTTCTCATATTCAGGATGTGGTTTATGATTTAGAAGGTGCTTGTGTCTTGGAGATGCTTTTAAGATACCTTAAACAGGAAAAGACTAAACTAGAAGGAAGATTTTTCTGCTTGATTTAATACAGAATGAGTTAATTAAGGGGATTAATTCAAATTAATTAAATTAATTTATGTTGTCTTTACAGAGTAAAAATCTAAAACTGATACTGGTTGATGAAACTGTTTTTGTGGAGTTTGTACTTTGCTTTGGTTTTCATTGTTGAATTTTTATATTTTTTTAGTTCACTTCTTTGTTAGAAACAAACACTTGACAGGCATTTAGGGTATGTAATCCTTAGCATAAGACATAGGTTGATGTATGGAGAAGCTTCTGCACTTCCAGGCTTGGCATACAAACACAAAGCAGATGCTTTAGACAAAAAATTAGGTTTCTCATTTCAAACTGTGTTGACAGGTGGGCCCAAAGCCCTTGCAGAAGTTACTGCCTCATCTTTAACCTTTGTACGGTTTGACTTCACACACACATTGACTCATCTATATCCTCATGACTTATCTCCTGTTTTGTTGAGTATATCAAAGGCTCACAAAGATAACAAGGTTTGTGTCATTGCTTTTCAAGGCTTTTTGGTGTCCCTGGATGACTTTTATATACTGGGCAGTGGATTGGTCATGTTGCAGACTACCAACAGTGTTTTCAATGAAACCCTCATTAAGCAAGTGGTGCCTGAATCCCTGTTAGCTTGGCAGAGGGTCCGCATTGCCAACATGATGGCAAATGATGGCAAAACTTGGGCAGAGACCTTCTCAAAGTGCAACTCTGGTAAGTACACCTTCATATGCGTCTTAGGAAAAAAGATGTGTTCCCTCTACCTCTGTACTTGTTTCCTTCCCTTGGCAGGACATGTAACTCTCTCTGTTCTCATACCCAGGAACCTACAACAATCAGTACATGGTTCTAGACCTGAAGAAGGTCAAGCTGCAGAGGAGCCTTGATGATGGTGCATTGTACATTGTTGAGCAGATCCCAACCCTTGTGGAGTATTCTGATCAAACAAATGTTCTCCGGAAAGGTAATAGCTCCTATAGTAGTTACTGGCTTAGGAAAACCAACTCTTTATGCCAACTGAGAATTGTGTTTTATACCAGGGAAGGGTTTGTTGAATACTAGTCCTGAGTTTAAAGTAAGGAAGCCTTGTGTGAGCAACCCTCAGCTCTGCAGGAGCATCCCTCTGTAGCAATCTATTGATTTACCTGGTATGCTGTGGCAGCAATGCAGTGAGCATCTGTGTCTCCTCGAAGCAGAGGAGGGGAAAGTAGACTTTGTCTCTGCGCTTATCTGCATCCTTGCCTTTTTTTCTGGTATTATTTTGCCCTGTTGTAGAGACCAATGAGGGAAAATGTGAGATCTGTTTGGGACTGTACTAAATAACTGTGATGCTGTGGGCTACTCAAAATGATTGTTGAGTGAATCACCCTGCAAGAAGCTGAAATTTTGAATACCTGTTGGGAAGGATGAAAGTTTGACAAGAAAGTCTCACAAATATGTATGCTTGACAGAAAGATTTTTGAATGTAGAAGCTGAGGAAGGAATAGAGATGGAAGTAAATTTTGATATAGAAGAAAAGAATTGCTGAGCCAGTCTCACTGGATAACCAAGGAGGCAAAGGGTATGTTAGTTAGAAGGGGGTTTTTATGACTTAGAGCAAAGGATAAACCCACCTCAAACAAGAAGATGTTTTTACCAAGCAGAAAGATAGCACAGGCAAACAAGTCAGCAAATGTTGCAAGTAGAAAAAAGGTCTCAGAATTTTCCACTGCAAGAAAACTGAAAAACAACTTCTAGCTTAAACTGTAATGTACTAACTTTTAGTGATTGGAGAATAGTAACATGAATATGGTAATTATAGTAGTTGTGATAGGCTATAGATAAAAGCTAAGGTATAGATTGGTTCTATTGTATTAAGATGCTCAGTAAAGAAAAGTATATAATGCATTTGTAACCTAAACTCGGGGTCTCCAGGCCTGCCTGCAGATGCAGCTGACAGCTGTAGGCACAGGCTCTGTCGCCCACGACCCTGGACTGCTGTAACACCTTGGATGTAATAAACTGCATTTGGAAGAGCCACCTGGAGTCCCGCATCTCAATCTCAGGCTCTTACAAATACCAAAGAAGTTCTATGTTAAATTCATCTCCTGAACTTTTCTGGATCTCTGTTTTCTGATAAATATTTGCTTTTTAAAAGGTGCTTTAATTCCTTAGCAAAACTAGCAAGAACTTGATGGAAAACAAACAAAAATCTTGGTCAAGCAGAACACTCACTGTCAGGTTTAATTCTCAAGAGTTTACTAGACACTTACATCATCAACAAAAAAGCCTGAGCCTTAAGTGTGTCTAAAGCTTTGTGCTCCTTCCCCTAATCACATGCTGAGGGGATAAATTGATGAATTGCTCATCATCAAAATGATAGGAAATTTGTCTGTGTTAGCAGCTGGGGTTGATTCTCTTTGAAATTTTTCCTTGTGTCTAGCTTCTTGGAAAGTTCTGGCTTATTCCAGGCATTGCAAAATTGTCAGTCTCTTTTGGCTTCTTTTGCCCTGGGCTTCTCAATGCTGTATTGTGCTTGGGGTGCATACAAAGAAGTTGATAGAGATGCTCTGGCACTGGAAACATTGCAGCCCCATCATGGCAGTGCTAAACCTGTGCAGAGAGGCCAGGCTTGGCAGGTACCTTGAGTTCCTTTTCAGCAATGATTTTGAAGCAGCTGTGTGGCATTCTCTGTAGGACTGAGCCCAACTCCTGGGCTTGGGCACACAGTGACCACTTCTTCCCTCTGAGACGTCGTAGCTGCTTTGTTCTCAAAAGTGGTGGCATGTATTAGAGGTTACACATTACTTCATACCTACAGTATGTCTTTTCCCAGATATCTAAGTGTACCTTGTGCATATTGGATAACAGAGCAGTCAGTCTCTGGGACTTTAAATGTTAGGAGGACAGCCTTCAACACACAGGGTGAGCTAAGCCCTGCCAAAGTGCAGTTTTGGAGACTTCAGCTGCTGAGCTGCTGTAAGTAGCAGATCTGAACTCCTCCATGCCATGCAGGACACCAGACAAGTCTCATCAAAGTCCCTGCCCTGTTCCCAGGTGCTTGGAGCAGCTCAGGTGAAGGAAGTTTATCTCTCTCAAGAGCAATGCTGGCTTAAAATCTTTGTAGAATAGCTGACCCTGGCACGCGCCATCATTGCCATGTAGCAGGTGTCCCAAGATAATGAACTTTGGGCACATTAGTTTGGTCAGAGTGAGTTTGCCCACCAGCATTTGCTTTTTAAGTCTCTTTGAAGCATAAACCTAGAGAATGAGAATTGAAATCTTAGGTGAACAAAGGCAGGTATTGCTGTAGTAAACCTTGTACTCAGGAAAAATTAAGCATTTCCTTACACAGGTTTGAAAATGGAAAGATTTATTTTTTTCTTTATGGCTCCTGTCGTTCTGTAGGGCAGTGCAGATGAGTTCTCAGTAACAGGAATCTCTTATGTTGCCCTTTCCAGGCAAAGATGTCCAGGTACTTTCAGTATATTGACAAAGAAAACTCAGAAATCCTTTAGAGGAGGTGAGGGAGGGCAACACTGTCTCAGGTGAAGGAATAGGTCACAGGAATAAGCTACAGTTCATGTTTCTTGATGATGAATGAGTAATCTATCAAAAGCAACACATCAGAGCAAAACCTGGGGTCTGACTGTCTTCCATGTATGCAATATTCTTACTGCTCTGTCTCTCCATATTGCTGGTACCTTTTGCTCTCTAAATGCAGAGAAGGAAAACATTTTGATTCAGGAATTTTTTGCTGTCTTCATGTCATCCCTTCCTTTCAACTTCACAGTCTCTTTTGACTTGTTTTTTGTCACTGTGCACCCTGCCAGGTTTCACTGGCTTATAGCAGCCTTTGGGTAAAGCCTGGCTTAGGTTGACTGCTGCACTCTTTGCATGGGATTTGCAGTCTTGCAGATTCTGAGACACAGAAGAGCTCTTGCTGGAGGAGAACTTTAATAGCGTCCTCTGTTTTAGCAATTTTAACAAGAAGTTTTTCCAGGTGGGAGAAAGGGGTCATCTGTATGCACTGTGTTCATGTGAGACAATAGCACCTTTTTGAATCACAGCTAAACCTTACTGGTTTGGAAGCTGATGTATCCGTGTCCTCCGGCCTGCATTGTTAGAGGCTGGCAAGTTGCTCATTTCTGGAGGACGCCTGTATTACAACACAGCCTGTACACAGCCTGTTTCCTTCAGGTAGGCTCTGGGTCACGTAAGCAAATGCCAGCAGACAGGAATACCCTGTCTTCCCTATCCTATGCAGGACCCAAGCTGGTGAGGCCTCCAATCAGACAGTGCTCCACTGCTTATCCTGTCTGCATATCCTTCAGGAAGTTTTGTTTATATTTGTGTGTATTACTCCCAGTGAGTTCCAGTTGATTTTCTTGAGCCTCTTACACCAGACTCCTCACACTGTGCTGGACTGATCTTAATATGTGGAGGCCTGCATTTATCAGTGCCTGGATAGTAAATCTCTAAGCCAAATCCTGATGTGTGTGATTTGAGAATGAACAACAGGGAATGTTAGTGCTTTGGAGACATCTTGAAAGGATGCTACTCTTGGGCCTAGCTCATGTTATATACTTGCTGCTAAAAATAAAATTAAATTTCAGGTATAGTTATCTATTCTTATATATTCAAGGACTTCCTGTACCCAGATTCTGCCCTGGAAGGTCTCCTGGCTCTTTACAAGAGCTTTCCACGGTGGTCTTCTTTCAGGCAGTTTTATGCAGGATTGCTTTTGGAAAAGTTAGAGCAAGGCTCTACTCTGCTGATCAATCACTTCTTAACCTTCAAAGGCAGCTACTGGCAAATGTGCAGCAATCCCTCATCTTTCTTTATGGCTGTGTGCAACCCCCACTGCACAAAGCATATGTGTGCTGGCCTGCCTCCTGCTCGGCCCGAGTAGCCCTGTGGTCTCTGTGTTTGTGTGTGTCAGTCCCTCCCTGACATCTCAGCATGGCGTGTTGTTCTGCTTTGGTGAGATGGGAAGCAGGCAAAACCAGAGTGACTTGAGGCCTCTCACTGTGAAGTTCTGTGGAGGTGAATGATTTTGCAGTCCTTTAAGGTTCAGCAGGGAAACCTGTGCAAGAGGGCTGTGGCCGTGCTGCATGTTCAGGCTCCTGCAAGTCTGATCTCAGCTGTTTTGCAGGATGAGTCCTGAGGCTGGAAGTCTGAGGGCGGGTTGCCTGGGTACGCAGTCTCCAGTGGTGTTATGCTGGGAGTCAACCCTGGTCATGCCAGTGACTGTTGCCTTATTGTGTTCAAACCAGTTTTCTGTGTTGTTCCTCGACATGCTGCTGAGGCAATGCGACATGGACAATTATTTATTTTCTTTTCTGATACAAGCAAGAGCAGCATCCAGCTTTTCCAAGTGATTAACAGATTGGGGTTTGTCTCTGGCAGGTTACTGGCCTTCATACAATATCCCTTTCCATGAAAAGATTTACAATCTCAGTGGGTATGCATCATACGTTGTCAAGTACGGCATGGATTTCTCCTATGAGCTTGCTCCAAGAGCCAAAATCTTCCGTCGAGACCAGGGCAAGGTGACCAACTTGGAAAGCATGAAGTACATCATGAGATACAACAGTAAGACATGTTTGTGTGCTGTGGAGCTGATCTTAATAAGCAGTGTTACTTTTATTTCTTGGTTTGTAGTGGGAAGCTGCAGCCTCACATACAGATCAGTTATATTGTCCTAAATGCAGAATAGACACCAAGCAAAAAGGTAACACAGGCTTACTTTGAAGGTAGGAAACTGGGCTAAAATTGCTCTTTCAAGAACAAGGCCCCTTGGGCTTGTTATCGGACTTTTCCAGAAAGCTTCTGACTCCAAGAGAGAGTACTCCAAGAGACCTCATGGACTGCTGCCACCTAATACATCTACAGCCTGTCAATCTTGAAAGCCCTAAATCCTAAGCAACAGTTAGACATGATCAGAGCTGAGAATTTAGTGTAAAACTTAAGGTTTTCATCCATGCTCAGGCAAATGGTCTTTTGCAGGTGGCATGGAGTTAATTTTCTTAGTGGTTGATACAGTACTCTGTTTTGGATTTAGTATGAGAATAATGTTGATAATTCAAGTATTATTTAAACTGATGTTTTAGTTGTTGATAAGTCAAGGACTTTTCAGTTTCCCATGCTCTGCCAGGTGCACAAGAAGCTGGCAGAGCATGGCCAGGACATCTGACCTGAAGTGGCCAAAGGGATATTCCATACCATTGAATCTCATGCTTATTGTGTTAGCTGTGGGAATTGGCTGGAAGGGGCTGATCCCTGCTCAGGGATGGGCATTGCATTGGTCAGCAGGTGGTGAGCAATTGTATTGTGAATCACTTTTTTCTCTAAGAGTTTTTTTCTCTTGCCTTCCCTCTCCTTTTTAATCTTTATTATTAACAATTCATCTATTGAAATTGTTGTTATCTCAACCTATGGTTTTTACCTTTTTCCAATTCTTCTCTCCATCCCATGAGGGGTGGGGCTTGGAGGGATGTGGATGAGCAGTTGTGTGGTACTTAGCTGCCAGCAGGGGTTGAACAAGGACAGTAGGTAATGCTCTGTTGTTTTTTCCTGACAGGGCTCTCCTTAACTGGATTAAACCCAGCCTAATTAACTTCTGGCTAAGCCCATCTCAAAGTACTGATAGCTTTAGATGCTATATTTTTATTCTCAATTATAGGGAGCTTGCTGAGTACTGGACTTGAGGTTTGGGAGGCCTCTCCCAGGGTGGGGTATCATTCCTGTCTGGGCTGTGAGTAGCAGCATACTCGTAGAGGCTGAGCTCATCACCTTCCCCTCCTGGCTTGCAGCTACTGCAGTGAGTGTTCAAAGGTTTTGCTCCTTTACACTTATTTTATTCCAGAACAGGAAAACAAAGGCTCTCTGCTGCATTTCCCCATCTCTTTCCCCCCCTCCCCGCCCCCAACCTGCCACTTCCCTTTCTCTTCTGCTTTTCTCTCCTGACAAAGTTTCTACAAGCTTTAGTCATGTGGAATTTCATCAGGTGGAATTGCAGATATTTGTGGTTAGATGTTGGCAGTGGTGCCCCTGGGATGCAGGTCAAGACCAGGATCCTGGTCTTGAATTAGGAGCTTGTCTACTTAATGTCCTGTCTTGAGTGCTGACCTGTAGCTGGTACCCAGGGAGAAGCACAAAAGCAATGTGACAGAGTGCAGTCACCCAGTTTTTAGTGGCTCCAGTACTTAGCATCAGCTTTTTGTGAGGGGGCTGACTGTTTTTCTTGTCTTCTGCCCTTTCCACATTTCACCCAGACTATCAGCATGATCCTTATGCTGAACACAATCCTTGCAACACCATTTGCTGCCGGGAAGACCTGAATCCTTCTTTACCAGTGCCTGCAGGCTGCTATGACTCCAAGGTAAATTACCTTAATTTCAATATCTGCTGAATGTTGGCTGCAGCCTGTTTGTCCTCCTGTCACACCTGTAGCATGTTTCCCTGCACCAGGGCAAGCATGGCCAGGCATGTCTGTTCCCTTTTTTCATGCTGTCCCAGTGCTTGGGCACCTCCTCAGATGGGAATTCTCTGCAGAGTCTCATTTCCCTGACATCAGTCCTGGCACAGGATACAGGGGGAGGTGTATGAAATAACTACATCCATGGGAGCTTGTGGTGTTCAGGGGTTAAACCCCAAAGCCTTACAGCAGGAAACGAGTCTTCAGATCACTCAAGGAATGAGACTGTTGTACAACCTCAGCCTCCTGTTCTTTAGGACTCTGTGGGTGCTGCCCAGAGCCCACAGGAAAGGGGTTGCATTCTCACTTTAGGAAGCCTGGCTCTCCAGTAAGCCACCCTGCTCTGGGGCTCCACCTCTCTGCAAAACTGCTTTCTGAAAAGTTTGGTGAAGATCACTTTGCATTTTAGGGGGATGTGGGAAAATCCTTAGACCCACTGTCCTGGAGAAAACAGCATTTATTTTAGGCAGGTTATATGATATTTTCACTGTGAAGTGCAATGCCCAAGTTAGCAGCTGTGCTGGAAATTTGTACAGTATTCTATCCTGTGGGGTCCAGCCTGCCGCATTTCTGGATTACGAGTTTGGTTGCTAGGATGGGCCTGGGGAGGCTATTTTGATATCTCCAGTGCTGTGTCCAGCCAGCTACAGTGGGACTCTCCCACTGCTGCCCACTGTAACACACTGTGTCCAGTGTGTTACAGTGGGCAGCAGTGGGAGAGTCCCAGAGCTGGCAGTGCCTTAGCCAGCAGTTAGGCAAGGGCTGGGCTGGAGGTGGAACAGGGAGCCTAAGAGGGGCATTGAAAGAAATAACCCAGAGCACAGGCCAAACCTGTTCTAGTTATAAACCCGACTGACACATTTAGTGTCTGAGTTTGGGAAAATGGAGCAGGCTTGGGACCTCTTTGGAGACAATGAAGGAGCCTGCGTAGCAATATTAACTCTGTGCTGCCTTTCTCCATTCCCGAATTACCCTGATGTGTCCCAGGGGATGGCCCAAGTGCTCAACATGCAGCAGAGCTTAGGGCAGACCCCCTCATCCGCCTCCTGCAGCCCCATAAAATCAGGGAGGGTTGTCCTGAGGGCAGATGCTCTGGCTCTTTCAGCCTGGCGAGGGCAAGTGTGGGCTTGTGGTTTGCTGGTGCCCTTCAGCACTGGCTGCTGCGTGACTGGCTGCTGCACAGGGGAGGAATTGCTGCCTGTGCGTGTTTCCCTCTGCTCTCTTCCCTCACCTTATTATCAAATCTCCGTGAGCTGTTCCTGCTGTCTGGGATGGGGATGTGTCAACCCTCACGCTGCCCTTTTCTCCGGGTTCCTGTCCTTTGTTCCAGGTGTCGGATTTCCGCCTGGCTGCAGCGTTCACCGCCTCCGCCATCAATGGCCCTCCGGTGCAGGGCGGTCTCCCGGTCTTCAGCTGGAGACGCTTCAACCGCACGCAGCACCAGGGCCTGCCCGAGTCATACAACTTCAATTTTGTCACCATGAGGCCCATCCTGTGAAATCAGCGTCAATATCCACAAGTGGATTTTTTTTTTTAATGGAAAATTTATTTCTTGTGTAATAAATCGACCTGGGTGTCCACATCCCCGTGCCTTATACCTGCCTTCCCATGTCCTGTCTGCTAGGCACTTCGTACTGATAGCGGCTGCTTCGCTGCAGCCCAAAGCACATTCCTTTCTTCTGAGCTGTTTGGATGGCCCTTCCTCTGACTAGGATTGATGAGAAGCAGGTGACAGAGCTTTCTGTTGATCTGGGAGCATCACAGCTGTTCCCAGAGCAGGAGTGAAGAGCAATGCCACCGGTGAGAGTGATCAGTTTCTAGTAGCAACATGGGAGCTGTGTCCAGGGCTGGGCCAAACCAGGTGGCTGCTTTGGGCCGTGATGGCCTTACCTCAGCGCTGGCTTGATGTCTGCCTTTTGTCTGAGTAGTGTGCTGCAAGTTGCTTCCCATCAAGCATGTGTTCTCTGTGGCAGATCAGTCTGTTCTGTACAGGATGTGACTTTCAGTGGCACTGTCAAGACTTCCTTTGTGTGGCCAGAGCAGCGGGCAATGTCAGGCTGCAAAAGAGGGTAAAGGGAAGTGGCCTGATGCTTTGGAAATGCCCCCACCCCAGGCTGCAGGGACAGAAATATGATGCAATGGATCTCTTACAAGGGATCTCTCTCTTGGATTGGATCATCCCATGCAGTTGCTGGGTGCCATCTTTGCCTGTGCTCTCAGCTGTGGCAGGGGAATGTGACAGTGAGATGGCTGTGAGGGCCAGGGCTGTGCACATTACTCTTAGTTACCTGTGTTTGCACCAAGGAGTTGAGTCACTAGGCTGTTTTGTGCTAGATGTTCTATGTGTAATTAAGTAAAACAAAATAAACAGCTCTTTCCTCATGTCCTTGACGGTCCAAGCTAAACAGCGCACAGCACTGCCTTGTGTTATGAAGGTGAAGAATGATGAGCAGTTTGAGGTTCAAGTGAAGCCTCTAGCATTTAGCTTGTGTGATGGGGAAGGGAACAAGTTACTGGGTGAGGTTCTAGCTAAATATTTGGCTGTCACAGTAAGGGTGATTTTCGCCAAGGGAAGAGGGAAACCAGAAGTTACAGCAAAGCTGTTGTTGACGATGAAAAATTCATGAAGGGACTGAAGTGATTTGTTTGCTGAGGTAGGAGGTAGGTGTGAGATGCTGTGTGCAGACTTCTCCATGTGGTGGTGGAACCACTGCCACAGATTGGATTGAACTGACCTGGATTGAACAGGCTGCAGCAGGCATTAAAGAGGACACTTAAGGAATGGATCTGGGTCATGAAGAGCACTGCAAGGATCTGAGCTGCCAGAAAGCAGAGGACCAAGGATCAGCTGCTTGTTTGAAACAGGAAGCACAGAGGGGCTGGAGGATGGCTTGACTTCACTCCTAGACAACACAGCAACACTGCAGGATCTATTTACTGCTTTTTCACGCAGTTTTATATAAAAATACAAATAGAGAAGTACTGTTTAAAAGTTGGTCCCCAGGGACTAGGAAACTGGCAGTGGATTACTGCAGTGAACAGTGTTCTTGACCCAGGGCACAGCTGGATGCTTCCACCTGCAGGGAGTGGAGTTGCGTGGCACCTGTGATGTGCCCATGACATGACAATATGCCTGGAAATAGCAGCTCTGCCTTTCTCTCACCTTGAGCCTCCTACCCTGAGGTATGACCTGTTTTGTGCTCCAACCCAGAGTTGTGGGAAATCAGAGCACTTCTTTTGGGAGTGCCTTTCTGTAAGTATTTACACCAGTGGGAGCTTGTGAGCCTTAGGACTCCAATCTGTGTGACTTTGGTTATTTTTTTGCCTTTGGTTGTGCTGCTGAAGGCCACTGCATTCCTCTTGCTGTGCTGTCCTTTGTGCTTCCTTTGTTGCCAGACCAGCCAGGGCTGATCTGCCAGTCCTGACCACAGCAGCCGGGTCCAGCTCCTCTTCCCTGCACAGCTGCATCGGTGACCAGAGGAGGCTTGGATAGCATTGCATGGCCCAGTAGGCAGGTGCAAAAGAACTGACAGATGGCTACATGAAGTTTAAAGGTCTCTTTGAGTATCTTATTTCCTTCTGCAGGTGCCACTTGGAATAAAAAAAAGGAAGGTATGCTCTAAGCAGACGATTTGTGGCAGAAGTTGCTGCCTTTTTCATATCCTGCTTTCAGGTTTTTCCAAGTCCTCTGGCTTCTGACTCTTTAACTTCAGGTTTCCAGATTTGTCTGAAGAGAGACTTAGTTGGTGGGGAGATAGTGGGAAGTGGTAGTGATAGATCTCTCTTGCCATAATAAAAAAATACTCTTCAGTCAATGCCTAGAGGAAATGACTCCTCTCAGCCGGACCATCAGAATTGTCACATCAAACACAAGCTTTCACATGCTTTACCATCCCCCTTTTCTGAAATTCAGTAGCAAACTTGCCCCTCCTGGTTCTAGTGGTCAGACCCTGCACAGCCTCACCTCTAACAGGGGCCACAGTCTGTCACAGCATCCTCTCTCTGTGGCAGGAGACACCTGGGTAACATCTTAGCACTGCCTGCCCAGGTCAGGATGTACAGTACTTCAGGGAGAAACCAACAGCACGCCTTTGGCAGTGTCCTGGTGCTGTGCTGCTGGCTCAGATTTGCTTCTCAGATGACTTCTGGGGTTTTTTCAGTTTGCTTAGTAAAAGCATCAGTGGTGTGCAGAAATGGACTTTGCTCTGGGACTGTAGCACCTTCCAGACCTACCATGGAGTGTGTGCAGAGCTACTCTGCAGCAAACAGTGAGTGTTCTGCATGCTCACATTCTCACTTTGCTTTACTTCAGCAGGAACTGCAATTAAAGCAGTGCTTGAGCAGAGTAGTTATGCTGTATTTGATGATAAAACATAGGTTCTGCATTATGTGCAGTACATATACTTGTAGTTTAAATAGGTAGTTTGAGAAACTCAGGACTTTCAAGTGGGATTGTGCTGAGGCATCACTTCGCAAGAGTCCATCATCTTCTGGTCAGTGACTTGAAGCAAATTTCAGTAAGTGCATGGAAACTAATTATTAGCATTACAAATGAATTATATGCCCTTGAAGTACAGGCTCAGCACTAACTCAGGGTCGTCACGTCAGTAACTCCATGTTCTAAGTACTTTGAGTTCTCAACAATTTGGCAGCAGAGTTGGGTCCAAGAGGCAGATTTTCCCAGACTGCCTTCTAGTCCAGCTGTTCATTGGTCCCAAACAAGTTGCACAAGATCTGTCATGGTGCTGTTCCTGGCTTCTACCCTTGAAGCAGCTGGGTGGAGGGGGCAGAGCCCTTCATGATGTCTGCACTGAAACATGCTATTATTAATTATTTATAATTTATTAATCCTGATTTCATTGTACCTGAGTGGTGCACTTTGTGCTCAGCACAGCAGCTGCTTCCTGGTCAGCTGAGTGGGCCTTCATGCTTGAAGGGTGCTCTGAAAAACTCCAGGACTTTGTCCAAAGCCTCTTGCTCAAAGAATGACCATTGCTTCAGAGGTCGAGCCTGGCATCTTGGAGGGCAAGGAGAGCAGCACCAGCAACTGGATTTCCATTTGTGTATTCATCTGGGGCAACTTTGGGGTGCAGGTCACTTTACTCTCTCTGTCCATGCTTTGCAGAAATGCATGGAAGGCAACTTTCCAGAAGTTATAGCATTGCTTTGGTTTTTTGCTTCTATGAGAGTAGCACCGTGCAGTTGACTTCCTGGGAATGACCAAGAGCCAAAGCCTTGCTGCTCAGTGTTGGCTGAGCAAAGTGGCAACACCTCTGGAGAGGAGGAGCAGGCTCTGGGCTCTTTTTTGAGAGTTGCCTCCTGCCATGTCAGGAACTAATGCACAGATGACTCAAAATGTTAAAAACCCAGTAGTTTTATTTCAAAGTATAAATTCCAGGCTTGGCAGACAAAACCCCACTAACAGTTAACACAGACACACACTAATCTACAGTACATACAAAAATGGGGAAAGCTGGCAACTGCCCAGTTTACAGTGGACATTAAATCAGTCCTATGTTTTTTCTTTTGTATTTACAAGTCCAGCTGCAAAACAAAACAAGAAATCAGATTTGGAATTTTCCAACAAAGGATTCTGCACATTTGACTTCTGATAACCAATAAATTACTAAAGCTGAACAGGAATCCCTGAACAACTACTACTCAGCTATCTTATATACAGCAACACCCTATCAGTTTAAGACAGCAGTACAAATATATATATGTGTGTGTATAATATATATACACACATCTATACATATATATATATATAGGCATATGTATATAAAAGAAGAAAAGAATGCTCAGCCTGCATAATGACAATGAGAAAGAAAGATGGCTTTTTAACTTAAAAGGGATGAAAAGGAAAATTCATTGATTTGCTTTCTCCTAGCTATCCTTAATTTTTTCCTTCTCCTCTCAGAAGGTGTTTGGAAGGGAATAGATCTGCATGGCAGGGCTGGCTTAGTGTCATTTAATCTCTTCTCCCTCCAGTGTTTTCAAACAATGCCCACCCCTACCCAAATCAACAAATTAAAAAAATATATATTTAATATCTCAAGCTTCTATTTAAAATATCTGCATAGATATTTTTGACAAAAGGAGAATACTCAAAGGGTGTATAAGAAGGCAGAATCACAGCTTGATTGTGTACAGTGTATGCAATACTTGTCCTGGGGAATGGCTGGCTTGGGAGCAGGAACAGACATGACCCATCCCTTTATATAATATTGGGTTTTATTTACTGTACATTTAAGACTTAAGTATCAAGGAAGAGCTGAAGTGGCTATTTCTGTTACAGTACAAAATGATGTTCAGATCCCACTACTGAGCTGAGTCGTGGTCCCAGCGAAGACTGAGGGGTTTTGCCTTTGTTTTCTAAGGAAGGTAAGACCCCTTAATTTTATAGGGAGAACACCATGAGTTTTTCCAGCCTTGTGCTAAAAACCTTGGGAAAGGGTGTCACAGTGCTTGTGCTCAGTGATCTAACACGGCCAAGGGCAGCACAAACAATTCCAAGGAGCAACGTCAGTCCAACGCATAGGGAAGCTGCTCAGAGCATGGAAATAATTACAGGCTGAGAGATCTGCATCCTTGTGTTTTCTGAAGCTGTCACTGGAGACAGTACAGATGCCATAGCTGCAGTCTGTCCCCTCCTAGCATTTATGTTTTTGTATCCAATAGTTTTTTAGCCATACTGCAATAAAACAGGCCAGTGAAGCTGTAACTAGGAGAAATGCAGAATGCCATTTTGCCATCAGCACTCCACAGCAGGACTTCTCTCCAAGTAGATGAAGTAACTCAAATTACTTTCAACCTGGACATCCAGATGCCCTTGTACCATATACAGAGAAAACAATTTAAACCTAAAACACACCCAAAAGTAAATGAGGATTGAAAACACAGCTGTAGTCAGCGCTGTGTTTGCTAAAACATGGGCAACTCAGTCCAACGTGGTACTGCTGAAATGTCATGTACCCAGAGGCAGCAGCAAAACACAGAATCACAGAATTCAGACAGTCAGGAACAACTTTATACCAAGCTACTGAAAGATGGAAATTTTGCATTAAGTGCAAAGAAGAAACCAAACTCAACACTTCCACTTAAAAGCCATATAGAAATTTTTAGCGTATTAAAAAGTGGATTATTGGAAGGCTTCAGTGATTTGAGACTTTTCATTAATGAAGAGACCAGTCTAGAAGCACAGTATTAATACACCTGTACTGAATGTTGCTAAATATTTTGGTAATACTTTCAAATAAAGTCTGTAAAAGAAACAAACTGTTTCTGATTGATTGTTGCTAGCAGAAAGTTTTTCAATAGTTTTAATCCTTCTGGGAGGTCGAGGATAATAAAGCCATCAGCCATTGGACTACATGGGAAAACTGCCACGAGGTAAGGAATTAAGCACTACTCGTGTTTGTTAGCAAACTCACGGCAGAGATCTGCTCCACAGTGACAGTGACTGCACAAAACTGGCATAGTTCTCTCTTTGGGCATCAGTGATTTAAGGACCAGCTCCCTCGGAGGTCTCCACACCAAACCAGGCATCTTAAAGTCAAGCCATGCTTTATCACACACTTCTCCACCAGTACTTGCTCAAGATACTGAAATCTGACCTTTAATATCCCTGCTGGGATGAAACAACAGGGAAGTGATTGTTCACCCCAGAGCTGCGATGTCTTTGGTCAACAAGGGTGTCTCAAAAAATCCTGTCAAAACCTCAGAACTGCTGCCATACAGAGCAGAAATGGATCTGTTAAGACAGAAGCCTGTTTTTACAGTCAGTTCAGGGAAGAATGAAATCTTTAGTAAATAAGTATATCTTCTTTCTCTAATGATGCAGCCCACAAAACCTCCAATGACACACTGTCCCTATTAGTATCTCCACTGGAGGAAAGAAAATACTCTATTGCAGGACTTGCACCCCCTGCCTATCCCAAAGGAGACAAACCTAACAAGATATCTAAATGGAAGCTCGAGCTATAACAAAGCTCACGTATAGTTTGGGCTGGAATCACAACTAAATAAATGAAGTTCTACGTTGTATCCTCATGTTTATTTCAACTTTCAAACTGTAAAACTTCATACTACTGATACAGCCAAAGGCTCTTTGGTACCACCTCAAAGATACATCAACAAAAAATTGCCCAAGGACCTGACAGCCATCAACTGGAAAGACCTCTTCTAATCTCTATTACAGAATTGTCTTTATAAGGACCAAAATTTAGTCTATTTCCACAAACAGACTAAATACATTATTAAGTAATTATTCCTTAAAATAAGCAAACAGAACATTTACTTAAACACAGAAAAATTTTTGATAATAGCACCAGAAATACAAGGACAATTGCAGTTCAAAGGAAAGGTCACACATTGTTCATACACAGTGTGAACCTTCTCTGAGGATACTTGGATTTAGCCAGAATTTTTGCTTGCCAAAATCACTTTAAAATGCAAGTTTCCATACAGAGAATATCCATAACTCACCTGAGAGAAGTGACACTCCCAGCTACATGAAGTAGTGCAGTAAACCAGAGAGAGATCTACAGTGCCATTTCGTTCACTGTAAAGGTTCTAAACAAGCAAACAGCAGCTGCAGAACCCATCTCTTAGCATATTTCATCAGCCCTGTTTGGGGATTTAACTTCTCTGATACTTCTTCAATTTTGCTTCACACTTCAATATGCTGGTTTTGAGAAAGAGAGCATTGAAATGAGCAAATGTCATAGTCTATACCTTTGCTATATGATGAAGTGGATTTAAAAAAAATCTTTCCCCTCTGAACCTACTGTTTGGTTCTACTGGGTAGGAATGCAACTGAAAATTGCCAAAATTCAATCTTTGCATCTACTTTCTTGTCCAAGTGCGCTGTAATTTTGTTCTGCAAAAAGCAAGTTTAACGTGTCAGTGACAGCGGGGGAGATGCACCAACTTCTTTTCTCAGCTCAGAAGCATCATGAAAGCACCTATAAACATTTGCAATCATTCACAAGGCTTAGGCCAGTGTCTAAAACAGTTTCTAAAACGCCCCTGGCTCTGTCTGCTTTCTGCAGAGGCAGGCAGGTGATGGGAGAGAGAAGCACACGGGGAGGCCAGCTCCTCCTTTCGTACTCACTGAGCATCCAAACGAGTGCAAACAGGTGGTAGAAGCTTTCACGGCACCGCACCACAGGGGTTTCTTCTTTGGCTGAATTGCAGCTTTCCCAAAAGAACCAGGAAAGGCTCTGGTGGAAAATAATGTCTGTATATGCAATATTCTTGAGAGGACAAAAACAACTACGCAGGAATTACAATAAGGAAAGAGTTGAGTGATACCGCAGCTAAGAATAAATTCACCATCTGCAGATGTTACACTTTCTTGTCTCTACATAAATAGCAATTACTGCAGGCCTGGAAAATGAGAAACACTGATAAAAGACTAGACGTGTAAAAGGAAAAATCACTCCAAGCAAATAAAAGAACACCACAAGGTATCTGGCTACATTTTATTTCTGAAATTATTCTTTAAGGCACAAAATAAATCTAAAAAATAGGGCTGGATGGATGAGGAGAGGGACAGAGTAATTTGTCAGAACTATTGAGGTGTGAATGGAGTCTTTACAATCCAGTTTCAGATCTGGGAATGCTCCCAGGGCGAGCAGGGGAGGATAGTGAAAATAGAGGAGCACTCCTACTCAGAAGAGGTAGGAGGTTGTGGGGTGATTATTTTTTTCCACCACCTCCAAATTTACACAGGTTCCTGGCCAGACTCAAGTTCCCTTCCCTCCCCTCAGAGAGCTTATTACAGTTTGTAAGGTAAGACCAGACCACTCAAGCCTCCAGTACAAAAAGTGAGACCTTGAATCACCCTTCATGTCACAGACTGCCCACAGAATGCTGGGGGGGCAAGAGGCAGATAATTTTTGCCCTTGTGTTGGTGTCTCAATAGGCATTACAGATGTGTATGTTTTACTTCAGACAAACTGCAATTTACTATTTTTGTTTCCACTCTGAAGCAGAATCCCAGGCATTCAGGATGCTCTTGGATAAAGGATAGTAGGTATCTAGGTGGAACACTTGTCATGGAAGGAAAAACAAAATTTTCAAATGGCCAATGGCATGAAGTATTTCGAAAAAACAGGCTCTCTTGCTGCAGGTCAGACTTTATTTTTCTTTTGGTTCTGAGTGCATGTAGTGTATCACACAACTGTCTAAAATAATCCTGCAGAGTGGATTTAAAGGTGAATTACATGCATGGGATCAACTCCTCCCAAAACTGGGGTAATTCTTGACAGCACGACAGGTTTCAAGGGTCCAAAGATCTCTAGTTTAACTGCTCTGGGAAGAGATCACGTCTGTGGACTGGGGATCACAGAAGGGCCCAAAGCGTCCATAGACATCCTTAGCCCGGACTGCAAAGTAGTATTTGCTGCCAGACACGAACTGGGTCAGAGTGCACGCCATGGGCAGCGGCAGCGCCTTCACCTCCCCGATCTTCTTCCACTGCGAGGCCATGGTGGCGCTGGGGTCCTCGTGGTAGGCATACAGGTGGTAACTGTCCACAGTGGCACAGCTCCGGTCCACCTCCATCACGCTCCACGACAGCACAATCCCGTTCTGGCTCTGCACCCGGGCCAGCTTCAGCTGTGGCTTTTGAGGTGGAGAAGTGTTGGCAGCTTCGGGGGGCAGACGTGGGGGCTGCGGTGCCTCTGGAAGTGGAGCGGGATGAATGGGGCGTGGTGGCTCCTAAGCAGCATAAGAGCAATAAGGGAAAGGTCAGAATCTACAGCAATGGAAGGAGGCTTTAATTCGTCATTCCCCAGGTGACTGGAAGCAGATGAGCCTGCAATCACCCAGCCATCACAACTCTCAGTCCTGCGTGCACAGGCAAAGCAGCAGCTGCAAATGACGAGAAGGGGTGGGAACAAGGATGCCATAAATTCTTACATTATTCTTATATAAATCCCTAGTTGTGCGAATGATCATTGCCTCAGTAATTTCCCTGTATCTTCTTTGCTTCCCAGCCAGGAGGGAATGAACTCAACACTGTGCCCTTTACCAGGACTGGGCAAGCAGGTTCACAATGACTTTGAACCAATCTATGTTTGAGCTGCTGTTCCCACGTTACCTGACACCCCAGGCAGGGCATTAAGCTGACAACTCATCATCTCTTCTACAGACAGGTATTCAGTCACAAAAGGAAGACAGGATAATGATGCCACATAGATTCTACCACCTCAAATTGATCACAAAAGCTCAGCCTCACTTTCCAGAAAATTTTGAAATGAGGGCACAAATGTGTCTTTCCAGTGATACTTCTTTTTTATATTGCAAAAACAGTCCTAGGTCTCTAATTTTTATTAGTTAAGATGAGTTTAGGAATGTGGTTACAGTGCTTCAAGCCTGAGATCTTTCAGGTTGGAATCTGGGGTAGTTTTTGTTATCTTTAGTGTTCTGTGTGATATTGCTTCATTTATTCTCATTTTTTATCACTGAAGAGCGCATTGAATTGATTGTGTCTAGACTGAAAGGATGGTAAGCTACTTTCTTGACAATACATTTACCATTTCAGGACACTGTAAGTAATGTGACTGCCCAACAGTGAGTGTACAGGCTATGTATTTGAAATAAAATTAAATGTGTCAGAGAAAATTCTTAAATTCTAACCAAAAGGGGCTTTAGGTGATACAGAAGTAATCACCCCCAATGCTGACTAAAGACTTCTGGAGTTTGGGAGTTGGCAGCCTTGGAGATTTGGCCTCTACCTTGTTCTCCTGCCTCAGTTTTGCAAACAGCTGTACTAAAAACTGGTCACGCAATTCATAGCCAAACCATTACAAAACATTTTACTGGCAGTTCTTCTGTACCCTTGACTCCATGAGTCACCTGCAGACAACTCATGCACTAATTTTCAGTATGTTCTCCTGGTGATTTGGAGAAGGCCAGGGTGAGCTAACAGACTGCACAGCTTTTACCAATCTGGGCAGGAGTTGCTGTAGGTGACTGGGTGGTGCCATGCACAGAACTGGCCGTGAAATGTCAACGAGGCTTTTCAGTGTTCTGCAGCTCACACTAAGAGCAGCCTGAGAGTCCCAGTGCAGAGACAAGGCTGCAGAGTGCACGAGGTGGTTGGAGCCCCACTGACCGTGTGCGCTTGCGGCGGCGGTCGATGGTGCACCGTGAGCTGAGGAGCCGCAGAGCCCAGAGCCAGCCCGCTGTTCACCACGTAGGTTGTCTGAGGCATCCGCACGGTCACACCTGCAGGGAGCACAACACACACTGTGAGCATTCAATCCTTC